TTCGTAAAAACAAAATAGATGTGCTTTGGCTTCAAGATGAAAGCTGGACGTGGGAAACTGAAAGCTGTTGCAACCTGGAGACTAGAGTTTTTTGCAAGGCTTGGTGGGTGAAATGTTTGCATTTGCTGCCGTGATCTGCTTTGACGTCCTGCCAGTGTTTGACCACAAAATTGGAGGTTCAGTTGCTGAAATGCCATCCCCAAGTGTAACAGTGGTGAGCACATGAATATTTAGAAAGTAGCTGAAGAAGCAGCTAGAGAACATTTCTGAAAGGATTTCCTTATGCTGATGAATGTGAGCTGTTCTAATTAGCTGAGCAGCTGGATTTCAGCTGCTTCTTAGCTATCTTTGCTTGTCCAGACAGTGGGAAGTCACAGTTGCTGCATTCGTTTAGCAATGCAGCCATAGACATCTGCAGCATAATGATGAGGATAGAATTGTCACTGGACTTAATTACTGCTTCAGGATTGCTTGCTTTTGGGCTCAGACTCTGGAGAGAGGTGAAGTTGTACCAGGGTGAATATTATTTCTAAGATGTTTATTATTAGAATATTATTTCTAAATGTTCGATAATGCAGACATGCTTGATTTGTTAGGTGACTGGATCTTTATCAGCCTTTGTACTCACAGGGCTATGACAATACCCCATTACTCAGCAGAGAAGGTATGGATGTGTTTGCATGTTAAGGTGCCTGGCTGCTGCCAGCTGCTTTTTGTTGGTGCTGATCAGAGTAACCAGTGTGAGCAGGAAACCAAAATAAAGGAGTGCATCAGCTCCTAGGAGGGGTGAAAAGAATGCTGACCTGAGGCAGGATTAGCACTGGATAATTTGCTGTCAGATTAGCTGCACGTATGGCATTAGTCACGGGCTAAAGATGTTTTTTGGTGAGCAAAGGCCAAGCTACTTCCCACGAGGAGAGCCCCTGACCTCCCCAGTTGCCCTTTGCACCACTCCTCTTGCATCACCCTGGTGCTCTTGGGAGCTCTGCAGCTAGCTGGAGCTGTTGGCTGGGCTGGCTGAGAACTCATTGGCTGTCTGGGGCAGACCTTGTGCTTCTTAAGAGCGCAATCACAAGGTTGGCCAGGCAGACTTGTGGCATGTCAGCACCAATGTGAAAGGGCTGGAGGAGACAGTGGGCGTGGGGAAGGGAGTACTGCTGACTGCCTGGTTTCCTATCTTAAACCAAGGGTGAAGCTGCATCTTGGGTAGTACATTGACTGTTACAAAGGTAGTATGAGTTATAAAGTAACAGAGAGGAATATGTGATGTGTTTTATTGTAGTACTATACATAGTATTGCAATAATTTCAACAACAGCTATTGAAAAGTTCTTTGCTAGCATTCCAGGAAGTCTCAAGGTATTAAAAAAAAGCAACATTTGAACTTAGTTAAGGGGCATGTAAGAGAGTCAGTAACCATCACAACTGGAAATATGCTAAGTGCTCCTTAAACAGGTGTGTGAACTGGAGGACAGATATTTTGAAAAAAGCCCTGTATAACATGATGTAAGTGATAAATTTTGAGACTTGGTAGCAGATGCTTCAGTACATACATATTTTTTAACAAGGGTTGACTTTTTTTTTTTTTTCCCACCAGCCTTTTTTTTGTGTGTCTAGAGTGATTTATGCCCAGCATCAATCTGTCTGCCTACACCCAGGAGCAGGGCTGCTTTGCAATCAGCTGGGATGGAAATGGGCCCCTTGTGATGCTGGCTTGAGATATTTGACTACCTTCAGCTAGCAAGTACAGCAGCTTGACGGATCCCCTCTGAGCCAACTGAGGTAGTTTGCATAGGTGCACAGGGATGCAAGTTCCCTGTTTTGAGGGGCTGGCTAGGGAAGCTCAACAGAACTGCTGCCTTAGTTGGGCACTGAACAAACTCTGTGCATTAAATTGTCTGTCAGCGAGATCTAGGACAAATCCATACATGTTGGAAGAAGTGTTCTGGTTGTCTTCTCTTGCCTGGTTAATTAGTGTGCAAAAGGTATGAGAGTTTGCATCTCTACTTGCTCCATATTATTTACAGCTGGGGTGGTGTTTAAACTAATGTTTATCAGTCTCAAATGCTGTGAAAGTGCCCAAATCTTGCTGTCCATTCATTCTTCTGCCAGCCCTTTGAGTTACGAGTTCTACCTATGCATGCTGTGGGGACAGTGTGGGTGCTGCTGCCCCCCAATGGGCTGGCTGATGTCATGCCTTCCTCCCAGTGCTTCTGACATAACTGTCTGGAGACTCATGATGGAACCAGGATCAGAGATCCCATGCAGGCTGAACTCATCCCTGCTTTATTTTTCCTTGATGTGTGTATTTGTGGGGTTTCTGTGTGTGCTCTGGTTCACTGCTCTCTGTTACAGACTGGAGGAGGAGGCGGGGAAAGAGGCAGGGTCTCCATTAATTAGAATCATCACTGTTACAGCTCCTACACATCAAATAGGAGAACTGAATTCAATTTGGTATTGCTAATTATTTGGATCCCTTGAGAGAAAATGTGTTCATTACCTGTGGAGCAGAGGAGGATGTTATCAACCTTATCACTCCTCATTCTGCAGGATGGGGCAGGAGACTAGAAATTGTTGTTTCTGGAATAGGGCGGGGTTACCTCAGCATTGAGTGTGGGCATGATCACAGTTTGCCCTAACAACAGCATCTTTCTTAAATTACTGTTGTTCAATACATAGCAAAGTTACGGAACTTTCAGTCCCCTTATAGGATTTCATGGCAAATAATAATAATCTAAATTCATTCCTATTTCTTTGTTTTTAGAAGGCTTAAATAATTTTAAGTTACATGTCAATCAAACTCTCCTGAGTGTAGGAGACAGTCCTTTGCCAAAGGAGAGGAAGGGTTTTGATGATAACTTGTTAATAGAAAGAGGAAAAGAAAAATTATCTGATAATAGCTTTCTTTGTGAGTTAATAAATTTTCTAACAGAATCATGTTATTCTGGGTTCTAAATTACATGGAGAGTTGCGTACTTGAACTGCTTGGCTGATGATATATTCATATTTCAGCTTCACTGGGTTGGTTTAATGAAAGATTTTGCTTCTTTGTTCTTTGCACTGTGATTATAAGTTATTTTCTATACTTTTTTTGGTTAGTATGTTGCTAAGAGAATGTGGACTTGTGCATATATGATGGCTGCTGTTGTTTTGAGCCACAAGTGCCTGCTCTCATCTCAATGTGCTCCTCAGATTCTGAGGCAAATTGAAACAATTCAAGGTGCTCTTGCCAACTGAAGAAAGAACTTAACCTGCTCCATTTGGGTCTTACTGATGCTTAGGTATTCATACATTATACATGATCTAATTTCCAGCTTTAAATGTTACAGACATGTTGAATTCCGAGTATAGAAAGTATTTGCTCCTCCAAAAGATTTAAGATTCATAGTAGCAGACTTCAGTCTCCTTCCTGCCCGATATTAAATATAATAAAAATAAAGCCCTAAATATTGCAGTTACTCCTAGCAATGAAGACAGAAGAACACTGCTGCAAAAATAGACTTAGAAAACAAAGAGTTGAGTTAAAAGGAAGAAAAAAAATCCTAGAGTTACATCAGGGAAGAACATGCAACTAAAATGTTTCTTGAAGATGAGCTGTATCATGGAGCGTTTTGAAAGAGAAGATCCCTTTACTGCTAAGAATGTATGGTAGAATATGATTGATGGAAATGTATTCTAATGCTGCATTGACAGGGACTAAGCTACTCTTGAGCTGTTACTGAAAGCAGACAGATCAACCTTGCTTTTATCCTAGGTGAGCCAAACTATTTCAAAAGACAGTTTGGTTAGAGCAACGTCTGTTCCTAGTCTTTGGAAGGAGGACTTGTTCTTTGCATGTGCCTTTTTCTTCTCTTCTCCAAATCCCCTATTCCCACTGATGCAGCTGCAGTCTTCAGCAGTTGCATTGGAAGTGTGTGCGGAGCCAAAGCAAGCACTGACAGTCTGAGTGTGGCACGCTTGCTCCGAGTGTGGAGAGAGCATTGCAAAGTGCTCCTGCCTTCTCTGTAACTTTCCTGCTGGTGTGGCCACTGATGAAGGCTGTAGGGGTGGTGGTTCTGGAAAAGGCTTGATTCAGGTGGTATGTCTTTCTTTGGTAATTAATGTCTTATGCTGAATCTGATACAGTTGTTTTGCAGCCTTTAGAAAGGGCCGAGTATTCTATTGATGGTGTTTCTCTGAGTGTTCTTAACCCATTGTGTTGCAAGAAATAGGCTTTTTCTGAAGTAGTTTCTTTGTTGCTTTTTAAAAAAAACTCCTCTGTAGCTTTTTACTGTGGCACGTTAATTAATATCAGGTTTATCAAGTTAGCAGCACTTCCTGGAATAGTAATCTCAAGTAACTTCTGCGAAGTTACTAAAGGCTGTTAGATCTTTTAAGAGCTTCAGGAGAGAGTTGTAAGAAGCCTTAGTCTTGCCAAGAAAGCAGATGAGCTGGCAAAAGAAAACATTTTTCTGTCCTTGTGTGTCAACAGCTTCTTGGTCGTGTTGTATTCCTGTCTAACCTCACCCACCAAGTTATTACTGAAAAATGCAACCTCATCTGAAAGTGGGGATCAGATATTAACTAACCGTTCAAAATATTTAGCGGAGGAGTCATAGGTGTTTGCTTGGCTGTGTAAGTTTTATTTATTTATGGGGATGTTAAGTCATTAAATGCTAATAATCTGAGAATATACACACCCACATGGGCTCTTTTCCAGGTGTCACAGTCAAATGAGTCAGAATATGAACTTCAGTATGGAATCAAGAGAACAAATGTCTTTTCAAAAATTGTTTACTATCTTGGAGGAGTCTTTAAGCTAAGCTGTAATCTGGTTAGCATTGGAATGTGTAGGGTATGGTTGTTTTTCTGCATGGGGGTTTGAATGTGTTTCTTTAAGGTAGCTGGGCATGAATTTGGCAAGCCCTGTGTAGTGTATAGGAATCCTCTACGCAGTGCTGCTTAGTTGTTCTCTTTGAGATGCTAACCACTGACTAATCATTTATTTTTTTCTTTATTAAGCCAAGGACCCTTGTCATCCATAAGAGCAGCAATCAAGAGATGTAAGTCTGTTTTTCTTTCTTCTTGACAGTTATTGCTTTTTAAAATTGCTTCATCGTCATTTTCAGTAACTGGATTAACTTTGTAAAAGTAAGTTGAACTGTCAAAGTTAACTTTAGAAAGGAAGTTGCTAACAGCCTTTGGGGGTGGGGAGAGTGGACTGTAATTACTTGTTTTTTTTTTTTGCCTTTGTATTACTCCCTCTTTTTGCTTTGCTGATGATCTGTTCCTTTTTGCCAGTTACTAACGTTTTCTTATTTGAGCACCAGAGCATTTGTGCACTGTGGTGATCCATCTCTGAAGACCTTGGGTTACATATGCTCAATTCTTAGGCATGTGACAAATGAGAAGCTTGTTTCATTTCAGGAGAAATCCTCAGCACTGTTTGTTTGCTATATTGGGTACAGGATTAGATGCATGCATGTTATTTATTTCTGAAAGCAAAAAATTGTTTCTAAATCTTGAATGAAAGGGCAATTTCTTTTTCCCTATTTTTTTTAACGTGTCTTTCCCTGCTTTTGATATTTCCAGACAGAATTTCTTCAGCTGTGTTCTCTGAAGTATTTTATACTGTTCCTTTTTTTCCACTTCACATTTGTATTTCATTTCTGTCCATGATTTCAATTTCACAGTGAAGAAACAGTGGGGAAAAATACATTAGTGTATGTGCTACTGATCTGTTTCTTCTGAATCTATTACTTGGGGGCTCATTAGAATGGATTGGATTGGAGGCAGTGAAAGGAGATCATGAATGCTTCATTTAGGGCAAGTCTCCATGATGCTGTAGTTAAAATGCAGCGCTTTATCTGTGCTATTGCTGCCATAAATAGGAAGCTGAAAAACAGAGCACCAGATCACAGAAGGCCTTTTGTCACTGAGTCAGGAGTTGATAGAGACTTTATAAGCTCCAGATCTCCTCTAGCTGGAAAATGGTCTGAAAGACCATTAAGCAGTTGGAAAGTACAGTTTGGAAAATGCAGTAGCAAGTGATGCCTCATTTTGAGGTGCAATCAATTAAAAAATACATCTAGTCAAGAAGCTGTGAATCCATATATGTAACGTTGTATTTTAATATATTTAATGATAGTAATATGTGAATGACTATAAAATCTAAATAACGTGTGAATCTCCATGCGTGGTAGAAAAAAATCTCCATGCATGATAGAAAAAAATCTCAATGCATGTTTTAAGGCGTTGCACATGAAACCTTGGTTTTATGTGTGCCACTAACCATACTATGGATGGATCTAAATGAAAAATAGGACCTGTCTAATTCCTAACTCTGCTTGCCATTTATGTGGAAAAGTTGAAATATTGTCTGGAAAAAGAGTTCTCCCTAACAGCATTGGAGATCTATTGTTATTCCTTAATCACAGCTTCTGTGGCCTGCTTATCTCTCATTTTCAAGAAACATGGTAGGTATCTGCAGGGTATCAGTCTTCCAATTTGTGTACAGTACTTAAGCTCACTTACCTGTCTTACTGGTAAGTCTCTTCCCATCTTGTGGCCGGAGAAAGAGAGCACTTATTTTCCTTTTTGGCTGTGCTGACTGCAATGCTGACTGGAAAGGTGTTGTTAGTTTGTTTCAACTGTTTGATAAATCAAGCAATTGTTTGAAGAAATCAAACATGTAATTGTGAGATGTGCTCAGGAGTCACTTTTGAACTCTTCAGAATTTGCCTCTGATTTTTAATGACAATCTCTGCCAAGAGCGTACCAGTACAGACACCTCCCACTGAAATTAATGGAATTACTTCCTCGGACACTTGAGACAGGAACATGCCAAAAAAAGTAAAAAGAAGCTAAGTGCTGCTATGATGAGACAAAGGGCAATGGTGTTTTTGCATACTACTCCACTCTTCCAGAACAGGCTGGCAGAAACAAGCCTGCTGCTGTAAAATGTTGGAAAAACCTACAAGCTTGTCCCATTTTCATTCTGTCCTAAGCAAATATGTGGCTGATTGAAGGATGTGTAACAGCTTGCACACACTTTGCGGCTATGTCTTCCCATTTGGCAGTTTTGCAGTTATTTTTGGCTGTGGATTTGGTTTGTTTTTCGTTTTTGTTTTGTCGTGCTTCGGGGCTTTCTGGGCTCTTTTGGCTCCTACTTTTTCCCAACAAGATCAATTCCGTGACCTCATTCTCTCCCCATCTGCACAAACATTTGGGCTGGCATAATGTAGGGAATGGTGCAGAGGCAGGAACACAGCCCAAGGGAAGGTGTGGGAAGGAGTGAAATGTCTTCATTAAATTCTACTATCAAATTTGAGTGAAACTGCAGTCATGCTCTACAGGTGTAGCTATAAAAGTTTTTGTTCAGTCACACTGTCAGCCTCTCTGGTGCCCAGCAGTTTGCTCAGCTGTGATAAGGTATGTGACCTGGTGGTTTTTGTCCAGGTCAGACAGTGAAGTTATACAAAGAAGAGCAGGAAACAGAGACTGCTGCTGGGGGTGGCACACTCATACCCCTCCTGCTGCCTGAGGTCTGAGCCCAAAGTGTGAGTAGGATCAGGGAGATGAAATGAACAAAAGCTGTACAGAAAGAAATGAGGGTTTTTTTTTTTTTAATATTTGATGTTCTGAGCTCACTCACTGTGCGGTCTTCCTAGTGCTATTGTTGTTTCAACAGGGGGGACCAAAGTTAGTCTTTCGAAGGGGACTTGGGCAGCCCTTTTTCTTGTAGCTGCATTCAAGCATCAATTCAGCCTGGCACTGATGTTGAACAACTTGATGTTTCCTGAGGTGCCTGGAAACAGAAATAGAAGAAAAGGAGCAAGACCTCCCCCTTGTGTCAAGAAACGTACTTCAGCTGTTTCAGAGATGAATGAAGATGTCTCATTAGTTTGAAGCTCCACTTTTTATGAATAGTGTAATAAGGTCTTTGATTAAATAAAATTTTTCTGCTCATTTTACTTTTCCCTGAAGAAAGCATTTCTGCAGCTGTGTAACACCCTCAGTACTGCAAAAACCACATACGTGTCCTCTTACCTGGAATCAGCTTGACAGCTCTTCAGCTGTATTAAATAGTAGTTAAAGCAAGGAATGTTTGCTCACAATTGTGGCTCTCTCTGAGATACCGTGATGAATAACCTTTGTCCACCCAGGCAGCTGAGAAGGATAACTTCTCAGGCTAATAGTCTATATATTTCCTATTATCCATGGTAGAAAATTCTAGCCTGCTGTGTTGGGAAAGCATTGAAAGAAACTGTATTTTTAAATAGTAACACACTTGTTATAGAAAGTAATATTATTATTTTAAAGCCCATTGATAATATTAATTGGAATTAACTGAAATAGTTGATAGGAAGGATCATGTTTACTCATAGCTGCTGGAAGGAACAATAGATAAAAATCATCAGAAAAATTTCAAGTTTAATTTCTCGCAAGGTTTGGGGAATTTGAGGTTATGATTCTAATCTTCAATAGAAGATGAAACTTGCTTTTAAAGCAGTCTGCACTGACAAAACTGTTCAGTATTTCATATAGTTTACTAATGGAAATGCACAGATGTGATTATTGTAGCGTTTCTATTGTGCAAGCACTCAGCACACAGCAGGAGGGAATCTGAGCAGATCCCTGAATGAACTTTAGATTGCCTAAAAAAGTTGCCTGGAAGACTGTAAATTCTAGCTCAGGTCTCTTCAAAAGATTCAGAAATGCATGTCAAACTGCTGTTGTCGCCAGCTCATCTGTATCACTGCAATAGAAATGAGTTTGTGGTATAAAGACTGTTAGAAAGTTTATGTTTACAGGCATCTTGAGCTCAAAGTTGAAATTGCCTCCTGTCCCATTATCTGTATGTGTTTCAGATGTAAGTGAAATACCAAATTAGCTTGAAAAATATAACCTGGCGTAGAAACTGTAGTTGAAAAACCCATTAAAACGTAACTGTGCAGCAAAAACAGGATCCTTTACCACTCACTGCATGTAACAAAAATAATGGGCTCAAGCCACTAAATACTGCTTATAAGAAATATGTACCAAGAATGAATCTGTAGGTCACTCATCCGTTTTCTGCTTAGAGAATTACTATTAATCCTTTACCTGGTAACAGATTAAACATATTTGGATGCCTCACTGACATCAGCAGGAATACATACTTGTATTTCTAGTGGCGGTGTTATGGGTTGGTTTGATGTTCTTTCTCTCAAGACCAGTAGAATTATAAGAAGGAAAGGTGGAAGGAAAGTTTTGCAAACTGGATTTTCCTTTCCTACCCTTCTTTAACCATTTCAGTTACCTTTTATTTAGAAACCACTAAATGTGTGATGTGGATATATTGACACTTATCATCTACATCATTTCTTACTGTGAGAGTAGACGGATTTGTGCAAAATCAGCACTGAAATACTTTTTTATTGACTCTCCTGATGATGAAAATGTTTTTTTTTTTCTTTTTTAAGCTTAAAGATGTTATAAGTTGAAACCTGGAGAAAAATGAATAGCCTGCTTTTTCAAACCAATTCACAAAGGGAGTGAAAAACAGGGTGTGAAAGGACCACACGGCCAGAAAAATGGTTGTGGTTTTTTTGTTGTTGTTGTTTTTAAATGAAGCATGTGCTATGTTTTAAAAATTCATGTCTTCTCTCATACACTTTTTAATTTAAATTCACTTTTGACAGTGAAGGAATAAAAGCTGTGCCTGTCCACAGACAAGAATTATTTAGAAAGTTTTTCTTCAGCATTTGTGGAACTCCAAGGAACACTCGAAAGCAGAGGATGATGGTTTGCGCCTCTGCTCTAATATGAATTTCAGAGTTTCCAAAACAAAAGATGCTCTGAAAGTGTGGTTGTAACAAAAACAGGAAAGCAAAAAGAGGGAAACAAGTGATGGAAGGAGGAAAGAATTTTGTCCAAGTCCTTAAAAAAATAAATATTTTTATTAGCTATTTATATTGATGAAAGGAGCTTGACTCCAGAAGTGCCTGGGAGATTTTGTTTCAAACAAAGAATGGACACACATGAAAGTCGATAAAATGTTTCTGCTGATGTTATTTTTATGTGAATATTTTTAGTGTGTTGCTTTTAAGTGAACTTGTTTATTTGATATTTGGAGCTGGATGGATTATGTAGTTGTCTATGCCTTGCTATAGTTTTGTAGCTTCTGTTTAGGAAAGAACTGTTGTAGATTTTTCTTATGTGTTGTAGTAACTTTAATAAATAGAAGTACATTTATAGTTTCGTGGGGAAAACATAGCATCTTCTGTTTATCTAGGAATAAAAAAAGAACTGAGGAAATTGGCAGGTTTATTGGCTTAGCTTTGCATCCCTCTGTAATTAGTTTTAATTTCTCATTACCATTTCAATTTGGATGCACCCAAAGCAGTTGCATTGAATACATTTAGGAAATTAACACTTAGATTCTCGTTGTAAAAGTAAACTTGGAAGAGGTTGGTTTGATTGTTTTGGGTTTTTCTTTCATATTTTTGTTTGGTTGTTTGTTTCCTTGAACGTGTGAATAATATGATTGCAGCGCTAAGATCTATGAAGAAGGAAGTGAAGGTGATATTTTGTCTGTGTAGGGGATTTCTATTTGTGTTAGCCAAACTATTTTTACAGAACTGGGTTAGCAGATGGGCTGTTACTCCTGAAACTTTGAGGTGTGCTTCTTGTCTGGGTCAGTATGCCTGATCATACCTCTTTGTTAGGTGGGACTGTGAAATGAGGGATCCCATTTTCTTGGCATCTGGATCAACTCCTCAACGTAACCATTTTAGAAAGAAAACAGCACAGACACCAACCATATTTTCAAGCTAAATAAAGCATTCAAAGAAATTGTGTTTTCCTTCCGTTCATCGCACTTGGTTGAGCAATACAGTGAATTTTTCCATACCCAGTTGTGTTCCTTATGGTTAATTATGGCAGAGAGACCTCTGAACACCCATTGTTAAAATCAGCATGGAAGTAGAGATCCAGTCTGTTTTCTAGTTTTTTTTTAAAGATGCTATACAGTAAATAGACATAAAAAGTCGTCTTTTTAAATCTGTGGCACGTATTCTTGTGTTACTAACCCATTTAATCATATTTTCTGGTTCTGGAGCCTCGGTTTGTCCTCTTTCTCCTCCTCTTCCCTTTCTGTAACCCCTTCTTTTTTTCCTCTAGCACTCATGAATAGTGCACATCAATAATGCCCCATGGAAGCGGTATGTCTGACAACACTGCAATGCTCGAATCAAGTATGCTTTACTGATTTCAGATATCAGCTATGCTTCTGTGATGGCACAGAAACAGCACAATCATGATCTTTCACGCAATAAGATTCTACCACTTCCTAAATTATCTTTGCTATGCAAAAATTTGTCCCTCAAATAATCTCCTTTTTTCATTGAAGGCATCCAAGTGAGAACATGATGTGGCCATTGGGAAAATTATTTGAGTAAAAATGTGGCAAAAAAAAAAAAAAAAAAAGGACAACTTTAAAACATAATGATTTTTGAAGCATTGCAAATTTTTAATACACAAATGATTAAATTTTTAAGAGATATCTAATTGGGAACATTGCTTTTTTTTTTTTTTAACATAAAGTAGGGTGAAATATCTTAAGTTTTTTGCATTAGTAGTTTTTCCTTCTAGAGAAGAAGGAAAGACATTTTTAAAAAGTTTAGAAATGAGCCATCAAAAGCAAAATCAGACTTAATTAACACTTCAAAGAAAAGTTACAGCTCTGGGGTCACTACGGTACAGAAGACAGGAATGTTTCGAGAAGGAAGGAAATGGGCAGGACCATCTTTTTTGATGGTATCTTGGACATAGAATGACTTAAAGTGATTTGAATGTGCACCCTAAACCTTTAAAAAAGTTTTCCCTCGTATTTTATGCTAATAATTAAAAAAAAAATCCTTGGTGTCTCCTGGAGTCTGGGATTTATGATCACATGCTATGTATGCTCTCAGTTTCCTTTATGGTGGATGGTAGGGGCTATGCTCTTGCCCTCAACTATGTGCTGTGATGGTGTGTTAACTTTCTCCAAACTTTTGTTTCTTTTACTTCAATAGCTTCTCGGACTTCTAGCCACAGTGAGCAGCAGAGGGATAGAAGGTATGATGCACTTACTTATATTGCAATTGGATGTTACTTTACAACTTCTTAGATTGTATCACAGCATTACTTTTTATGCGTTTCTCTAGTTGTTTTGGTGGGGGTTTTTTTGGGTTTTTTGTTTTGTTTCTCGTTATCTTTTATATGTTTAATTTTAATTTAAACTAAAATGCTGTGATGCTTAAACAGAGGATGGACTAAGAGTTGCTGTTTCTGCTTAAGCATTGTATGTGTCTTCAAAAAAAAAGCCAATGCAACCAGACAGCAAACCTGTATGGAACTGCTTTAATTTCCTGATATCTATTTATGAGATCACAATGAAAATAGGCACACTGTCACATGTTCTGGTTTCTCCAAAGGTTTGAGAGAGGAGATCACTAACCTGAATAGCCTTTCTATCAAATCTGCTATTACTTCAGGTTTGAAGGGACTGCATTCCTCCCTGTGTATTTTAGTTATGTTTTAGTGTTTAGGTTTCTGATGTTTTTCTGTTAGCACACAGAAGCTTCTGTAGCAGATGCTTCATCTATTCACAAAGCTCACTTTCCAAAATGAATTCAGTGCAGGGCTCTAGATTAATCAGCAGTGGTTGGGAGCTGTGTTTGGAAAACACCATGCTGCCACTGCAGTTGATCTTCTAAAGCAGTTGTTACAGCAATGAAACATTGGAAGTACCTCTGGGTCCCTGTCATACTAGATGCTGTAAGCAAAGAAGCCCTGTCCCAGAGGGCTTGTGAGGCATGCTTTGCCCTTCCTTTAGTACTGTGGGGGGTTTCCCCAGAAGTCTTGAGGGTAAACAAGCTTATAAGTAGTCAGCCAGAAGTAGTTTTAACTATCCCATTGTTTTCACATAGCAGCAGACTAAGGGCAAATGCATGATTAGTTCTCATTATCCTTTGAAGACTAAGTCTTTTTCCATCTAATTGAGTTACATTTGTATTTGGATGCTTTTTTAGCACGTAAATTATTTCACTGAAGCCAATAAACCTACTTTTTGGCTTAGGCATTTAATTAGGCGTTCTGAATGGAAGCCTAAGTGCTTATTAGAAAGGTCGGGTAATTTGCTTTGCAGTCATGGAAAGATACTTTGGTTAAATAAGACCTGAGCTGTTTTGATTTTTGATGCTGAGGAAACATTGATCTTTTATATTTAAAGTAACTATTTTGAGATGTTTTAGGTAATTATTCCCTTTTGCTTTACCTCGAGGCGTCCTGAAATTACAATAGTTGCTGCTGAACCCCTGCGGCCATCCTCCTGGTTTCCAGGTGCAAGTCCTGTTGCTCCTCAAGGATTAGGATTCTCTTCTGCTTCACGTCATGCTCAGTGGAGGACAAATGAGCTTATTCCAGCTGAGGTGAGCATGGATTTACATGAACTGTGTTAGGTAAATAAAGGCTTAAAAAAAAAAAAAAAGATACAGAAACTGTTCTATCACTAAGAATTTTACTTGCTTACGTTTTCATGACATAGAATAAAAAACTATGACAGTGTTCTTTTCCTCTGCATGTTAATTTAGTATTTTTAAATAAATATACGGTTTAAAATAAAAGATCAAATTTAGACATGCATTAATGTTTCTGTCTTTCTCTTGTAGCTTCCTCCATCTTATGAGCAGGTGATAAAGGAAATAAATCAAGTGCAAGTGAATACAACAAATAACAATAATGCTGCTGCTCCTAGGCATACCACTTCTTCTGCAACACAAACTGACTTTCCACAGGAATTAATCAGCCGTTTGCCAGGAAGTAATGAAAAGAGCAGTGTGCCTACACACGGGGAATCTGCCAGCTATCCAGGTGAGATTTTTTGACTTCCCATTGATGGAAATCGTAGCCGGTTTCCTGAAGATGTTCTTTATTACTCATCTCAAGCTGTGCTAGGAAAGGTTCGATTTGGATGCTAGGAAAAAATTATTCTCCGCAAGGGTTGTGATGCTTTGGAATGGGCTGCGCAGGGAAGTGGTAGAGTCACCATCTTTTGAGGAGTTCAGGAAACATGTAGGTGTGGCACTGAGGGACATGGTATCATTGGCATAGAGTAGAACTGATGGTTAGCTTAGATGATTTTAGATGTGTTTTTCAGTGTTAATGATTCTAAGATTCTGTCATCTGTGTAACTGTTACCATGAATGACAGTTAAATTTCTGTGAATGGTTGATGCTGTAAATTGCTGCAAAACTGCTCTTTTCTGAAGAATCACCGCACTCACAGACTACTTTTAAAACTTTCTCGGTAATGAAGATGAGTAAAATTGTGTGTCTTTGACTTAGTAATAAAAATATTCACTGTTTTGCTCAATTCAGCCCTATTGGCTGTTAGTTTTATGCCAGTAGAGCTCCCATGTCCAGTCAGAATAACAGCAGTGCTACATTAAAACCAGAAAGTAACTGACAGCGTGTGTAACTCCCTCTGCTGAGGGAATTACTGTACTGTTCCTTGGCCAAGATGTTACTTCTATGCCCTTCCTGCTTGTGAGCTAAAAAGTAATTCTGAATTTATAACATGTAGATACCATGCATTTCAGCAACCATCAGTTTCTTCCTGAATTTTACATATTTTTTCTGTTTTTCTTTTTAGAAAGAGAACTGCAGTTTCACAAGGAGCTCTTGAACACACTTATGAGCAAAAACTATTGTTTCACGTTCTTATTGTCAATAAAAAAAAGTAATGTAAATACCATGTTCTCTAATAGGTAACTGAAACCTTGTTTTTTCTGTTAGTAGGGCCAGGTCTCCTGAAACCTCCTAGGCCTTCTGCACCTCTCTTGAACAGATCTTCAGAAAATGAGACTTCCTTATTAGTTTATGAAAATTCTGAAGATCAAAGGCACCAAGAAAATCCCAGTGCTGTGATATGTCCTGTGCCAAAGCCAAGATCAAGAAGCAATCTCAGACCTGTGGTCAAAAATACTCAAAGTCAGATAGGAGACAATGGAGAAGAAGTGAACCAGTCTGACACGAAGAGGCAGCAACTTTCAGTTCAGCAGTCGTCTGTCTTAGATGATAGCTTACTAGACAATCACTTGACAGTGGACAGCATGAGTACAGGCAAGAGCCAAAGTAGTATTGTTTCAAGGATCAAAGTTTTTGAAACCCAAGGAGCTAATGATACCTCAGGATTATTAAAGAAACCAGAAATTGCCCCTCGTACATTCACCACAAGACCTGTACCTGCAAAGAAGCCAGTAGTTGCTCCAAAGCCAGGGGTAGACAGAGTTTCGGGAGAGTGGGATGCATGGACAGAAAGCAAACCAATACCTTCTTCCAGAGAATTGCAGCTTCAACCTGAAGCAGTAGGGAGTAGTGTTGTAACCAAACCTGAACTGCCAAAGAAACCAAAACCTGGCCTTGAAAAAAGTAGCAGTAGTGATTTTCTTGATGCAAAGAGTGGCTCAGTTGCAGAGAACAGCCATGAACCAAGAAAGTTTCCTGTTCCCGCTCCAAGGCCTCTTATTCCTAAAAAGTCACATTCTGCAGAAAATCCTGCCCTTTCTTTGGTCCCTCTAAAACCTATCTCTGCTCCACCACGGACTTCTGTATCTGCCCAGGAGAAGGTTTTCAAGTCTGTGGGGGAATTGTCACCCACAGAGAACTCTTCAGCACCTGCTTCGCAAAGTAAGCTAGATCTGGGAGGAGATCTGATCAGTTTTGATGATGATGTTTTGCCCCTAAGTCCACCTTGTGCAGTTAAAGACAGCATCAGTTGTGAAGCAGCAGCAGGTAAGATGCTGTTTTTTAAAACTGTCACTTGGGTTTCTGTTTGCAGGTTGCATGACGCTGTGTGAATTATGTCTGCCTATTCTTCCTGTCTTGACAGAGTTTATGTGTGTATGAAATTCTTTGTTTTCTATTATGTCAAGATCACTACGAAATTACTTGGGTTTTGGGACTCGGGAGGTTTCTAGCCTGCATAAATCTCAGAGGCTTCCTGCTGGATTTATTATGCAATAACAAAAATAATGATAAAAGACTTGATGCTGTATGCCAGATGTTGCCTCCAGAATGTATCAGAATATTCTCTCAGGAACTTGGGACATCTTATCTCTAGCCATCCAGTCTAACTAATTTATTTGAGTGCCTGCAATTCTGCAATGGAATCCTCCTGAGCACTGTAAACATGTAGATATTTATTCCACTAGGTCATGTAAGGAAGCAGCAATGTTTATTACTTAGAGAGAACAGTGATCAGACATACTTGGAATACTCTGAGCAGTGGCTACTTAGTTTCTCTTTCATGTGTTGGTGTTTTATATGGCTATATGCTAGTTATGCAACTTCAGATTTTTCTAAAAAGTGAAAAATTCATACAGATAGATTAATCACTGCAGCTGTATTCCTCTCATAAACTTGGCTTAATTCTATAGCAAAAGAGGCCAACCGGGGCTTTTTTTTTCTTCTGATATAGGTAGTTTAAGACACAAGTAGGTTCTGTGCTGTGCTGTCACTAAGTTTTACGGCAGTGAGCTTTTTCCTCTTAGTACTCAAGTATGTCCTGCTTTAGCTAATCAGCCCCATTGCAATCCAGGAAATGTTTTGCTTTGAAACAGATGGTATGTCATACAAAAGGCATATTTAAAGGACTAACTGTGAATTTAAGCCTTTTTTTTTTTTTTTTAACCTCATTTATCATTAAACATTGCAGCTCTTTGAAAAGAGATGTGTAGGTATTGTGTAGTTTTCATGATAAATCAGTATTAATGGTTGTTAGTAAGTGGGATTTCTTTACAGTTGTGGATTATATTGTTAGATGAAGCTCCAATTTATCACTTCCATTCTACAATGGCATAAAAAGCCCAGTGCTGATATAGGAAGTCCCTTACACCTTTAAACAGTACAGGTCAATAAAAATTTTGAAGCAGCTTATAAAAGCACTGAAGTAAGGCAACAGAATGTCCTTTAGGACAGCTAATTAGCTTTACGTGGATCTATGTCTGCCCTTTCCTTGGTTGAAAGGGAACCAGGATCACTGCAGAGGCTGCAGCAGACCTGGAAGGAGTACTGAGTAAGTGAAGAAGCATTTTGAGGTGCATGAGTGACAGTGTTTAAATGGGAACGGAGTTACAGTCCTAATTTTTGGAGACCGCTGTTGTGACAGCCACTGTGCATGCGGAGGTTTTAGGAGTTAGAAGCACAAGAAATTATGGATCCAAGTTGAAGGAAGGAAGATTTAGGTTGGATGTTGGGGGAAGTTCTTTACTAGGAGAGTGGTTAGGCCCTGGAACGGGCTGCCCAGGGAGGTTGTGGATGCCCCGTCCTTGGACGTGTTTAAGGCCAGGTTGGACGGGGTCCTGGGCAACCTAATCTGAATGTGTATGTTTGGTGGCCCTGCTAGGCAGGGGGGTTGGAACTACATGATCCTTGGGGTCCCTTCCAACCCGGGTGATTCTGTGATTCTGTGAATTACGATTGGTTTCCATGCATCTGAGAGAATTTAACCTTTCAGGCTCTTATTGAAAAGGTTCAACAATTGAAGGGAAAATGGGACTGTTCTAAGTATGAGAAAAGAAAATACTTACATTCTGTAACTGTGTAAAAATGAAAATGATGCTTTGGCTATGTGATCCGTAAGACTGCCTATCCTCAAATCTGAAAAAAATAATTAATGATAATTATTCTGTTATATCGCACAATGATCCCAAAGAATATCACCTAATTTTTAAACAAACACGGCAGCTTTTGTGATTAATGAATGGCGGTCTTCACCTTTCTGGCACCTGAGATGTTATTCTTCATTTAATGAAGAAGAAAATACTTTGCATTCTCCTAGTTAAGTGAAGAATTATTCAAATCATGGTTTCTTGATTTCCCAAGTCAAATGTCCATGATATCATTTATTTAATCAAGTGACGCCTTTGCTGCAACCCCTTCATATCTACTAAAGAGAAGGTTTGATAGCACTATTGTTTCATTACATAGAAAAATTAGAATTCAGTCCAGACTTTCTGCAGGCATGTGTGAGCTGAAGATCATATGCTAGACCCTTGATTATTAATGCCATGCTAGGTCTTGACAAAGCATCTACAAGAACAGCAGTGGCTTTCTGAAAAATGAGGCAACACAGAGCACTAACACCAGCTATTTCTCCTGTTCCCATAGGAACAGCTTAGGATTTACAAGATGAATCCACAGTAAAATGTTTTGTAAAGGCAGGAAGAAAAGCTGTAATCTAGCTCTCAATTCCCCAGACCTTTGCATTTCTTACATATTTGTCATTGTCATTACTTAACAAAATGACAGCACTCTCCTTGTTGTTATGGTAACCACAGAGAGGGAGGAAGGCTTTTAGGCGGTGGTGTTTGTAACTAAGCACCAGCTGATTTTTTTTGTCAAAAAGCAAACAGTTTGTAACATTCACGAGCTTCTTTTTTTTTCTGATCTGTACAGCACAGATGGATCTGGCACTTAAACTAATGTAAATAGAAGGGAACAGATAGATTACTGTTTCTGCTAACATCTGATGCAAAAGTAAGAAGGTGAAGCTTTCAGTTGATGATGAGAAAGGTGCAAAAGCTGAGGTGAGCAACTGGATGAAAAAGTGTAACACAGGCAAAACAGATAGATGATTCTTCCAGTGCCAACTGAGAAACGGGCTATCAAGTTAACTTTCAAAGCCTTCAGCGTCATTATGGTCTATTGGAGCACTGGAGGCTCAAAAGCTTTGTGATTCTGAGGTAAACCATGGCAGAACCTTGCACCCACCTGTTGTCTTCATTGCTAGCCCAAGAGAAACACCAGGGAGAAGAAGTTAAGAATGACAAATCCCCAAAATGGTTCTTCTCAGCAGCAGCCAAAACTGATGCCAGTTCTAAGTACCCGCTTAGTTTTTGACACAGAGGCTAGAGAGAATGTTCACAGGCATTTTGTATCCTAATGAAATTACTCGTGTTCCTGTCAGTCCCTTAGAATGTGAAGGCATCTACTTGAGACTGTAAATCTTGAAGTGTTAATGCTTTGATGACAGTTGTGATATTTGGGGTCATAAATAGTATTTTTACAAATCTCTTCTACCTGGTAACTGGGATTTGTGCAGTGCCTTGAGGTTAAAAGTTTCACTAAACAGTCTGTTGGAATCTTTTGTCAGTAGTCCATTTTTTTTTACGAAGGCTCAGAAATGAAATTTTAGTGCAAGTTGAATTAAGTAGAAGTTCTGTGGCTTTGGTAAGTTCAAGATTGTCACTTTCACTTGTTTCAGTTGCTGTGTTAAAGCATGCGGTGTGTGTGCTTTCAAATGCCTTGGCAGAAAATAAGGTAATGGTGCAAGCACATATTTAAATTAAAACCTGGAGGTGATCTTGCTAAAATATTTGAGTTCTTTCCTGTGTGTGTAGAGTTATTCTCTTTTGCTTTTTCTGAGACGTCATACTGTTCTGATTATGTTCATGACAGACGAACACTTAATTTAAATTTAAATTTAAGTGTTTTGAAAGGTAGTTTGGGGATATTCTTACCTTACCTGCGGAAGGCAGCTTTCTCTTTCATCTTCATCATATCTACGTATTTCAGTTCTAACAATAATGCAGCTGATGGGTTTATCAATTCTTTTAATTAGTTATTTACTTCATCTTAGTATGAAAGTTTCCTTCTGCCTGTATGGACAGAAAAAATGACCAAACCAGTGATTACTGTCTATTTATATATATTGTTGCTTCTTGCGGCATGAATGGTAGCATCTGTGTGACACTGTGGCCCATTCAGAAAAACTGCTGCTTGAGTAACTTTGTCTTCCGTGAATTTATTGCCCAGCTGCTTGTTTTTAATTGCTTCCTCAGGAAGGAAGGGAGAAAAAGAATTAAAATATTTGTAACTGTTGATTGCTCCAGAGCTATCTTCAAAATAATGCGACTTTTCTTAGTATTCTGCTGTGTACCTTTCAATGACTCTTTTGGTTACTTGAAGTTATTTATCTTCCTTGACTCAGCAAGAATGGATGAGAATGTGTTTCTTGCTCTCTGGGAATTGTCTTGGGTTTTGTCTCACAGTGTATGTCCAAATAGCATCTGGCACCAGTTGTGAAGTTAGGCCAGATTATGCAGCCGGTTTCTAGCAACATGACATTGTAGCTGACCACTTCTGGACCAGAGGTTGAATTAGAGCTTCCTGAAGGCTCTTACAACTTGAACTACCCGATTCTTTCCTGACCGATAAAGAAGAATCATGATGTGGGAAAAGTCTCCGAGTTCTTACATCACAGTTTATGTTGGTCTTAGTCATCGTTTTGTTTCAAAGTCTGTAATTAAAGTCACCTCTAGTAGTAGCTCACTGCTAGCTTGTCCATATTAAGCTATTGTGCTTTTAGATATGCATAGAAAGTAAGTGTGGGGATCCCCACAGTTCGAGAGAGAAATGCCAAAAACTTGATTATAATCAAAGTTTGGTAAAGGTCCATTTATAGCCATCTCTGTGAACTACCTAATGCTGTAGTTGTACATCTGGTAAATGCTTATCATTGCATGTTATAGTAGCCCAAGACATTTTGCTATTCTAGTAGCAGTTTTGGTATTTATCTCTTTTCCAGCTTTCTAACACCATGGATGAGGTATTTATCTTTGCTCAGTTGAGCACATTTTGTTTTTGACAAGAACACTTAACATTGGATCTTCATTTGCATTTCTTAGCAATTTTACTGGTACATTCTAGACAATGTTAAACTTAATATAATTCTGTGACTTTGTGCATTTTCATTGTGTTGATAGCTCCTCCTGCATGCCCCACGTGTATCCTGTAAACATCATTCATTCTTTAGGTCAGGTTTGTTCATGGCCTTGAATTACCTTGCTTTTTGTTTCAGTCCATCAGATGTCAGCAGTGAACAGAGAGCAATGCCTGATACCTGTGCAAGTAGTTCACTGTATTTCTGTGCCTCTGAGTATTGATAAATGTTGCCACATAACATCTTCCTGTCCCTAAGACTTAGTACAACTCTTTTTAAAATCTTGCTTATGTGTGAGAAGTTTGATAATTCTATTTGGGAACTGGATCACCTTTCCTTTTCTTGCAGGAAAGATAATCCTCAAGGTAAAACTTTCTGATATTACTGTTTGCTTGCTTTGTTGGTGTGTGGTTTGGACAGAACAATATTCAGTGAGTGCTTCAGAAAGGTCACCAAATCCTGTGGTATCAAAAGAAATAAATAAAAGTTGGATAACTTTCTGAAGCTCCCTTTTCTTCAGTAACATTTCCAACTTCAAATGAGAAAGATAAATGGAAATGAGGAAAAAAGCTCTCTCTCCTAAACTAGTAAAAGAAAGAGGTGATATATGGTGTGTTAGGATACATAGCTTTTATTTGTCTTTCCTACAAAGAAGCACAGAAACGTATGTTACCAATTAATACTTTGAAACAAAAGCTCTAGAAGAGTGAGACTAATGAAAACACAGGCTTTAAGCATCATTGTAAAATTTTAATAAAGAAAGATCGATAGAAGTCTGTTGATATTTTATGAAAAATGCCTTGCAGATTAATTTCCTTGAGCTGAAGAGGTTTAAATGAGTGTATTAACAATTCTGTTTTCACACTCCCATGAATTATGCTCAAACGATGCCCAATAGTTGTTAAACAACATAAAAATTTGATATGCTGTCAGTCCCATTGCACAAAGCTGCACAGTCATTTACTCAACCAATTTCTGCTGCAGACCCAGCACTGGGGAATGGAATGACACAAACAAGTTAATGAGTTTCCTACTAATTATGAGGTGACAACAGTGTATCTGAACAGAAGATAATGAGTGGAAAACTAAGGTTTGTAAAAGGATTTTCTCAGACTTGGTTGAGAAAACAGAGGCTTAAAAATGACATCTCTCAAATCTGTTGATTGAGAGGCCTCAGACAACTGCTGGATGGTCAAGAAAACCATCTCTACGCGTAGAAACAATCAGCAGTTAACAAACAGTAATTCTGTACAATTATTCTGTACAACTTGCAATCATCTGATTTATAAGAATTTTGGCTGATCGGAGTATTCCTGTTTGGCCTTACTCTGCCTATATTTTTATAAGAATGAGGCTTTGGAAAGTAATCACATCGCAGTTCAAGTTCAGAGTTTCCTTCACCTCTGCAGCAGGTGACTGAGAGAGATCCCCATGGCCTGCTTTGTCCAAACCTGTCTGTGAGTATGCTGTGCCTCGAGCTTCTATGGGTATGCCTCTACAGGGGGCTCCTTGCCGGTAGGGTATGGTTACCACATAGCTGGCAGACAGGGGAGGAAAGCCTGGCTCAAATCTCATTTTTTCACCTGCACCAAAATCATTCTTAACACAATTGTAAGTGTTAAAAATAGGCAAATCATTTTTAACGCAATTTGTATCAAATTGTAGCAGTGTAGCTTGCAGACTTAGGTATAAAGAAAGGAAAGAAAATCAAAACTGCAGCCTTGCTCTAAGAGTGGGATTTTCACATTTCTTATAACTACTTACTGCCAGACTGTTTGCAGCCCTGCTGTGATCTGTGTTTTCCACTCCTCCAGAAGAAACTCTTGTCTGGTGCAGCTTTCACGGAAGGAACTTAAACCTTCTGCTGACCAGTGCTAATCTGAGGTTCTCCTGCGAAGGAGCTGGGGGCTAGCAGGAGATGAACCCTGGGACTGGGGGGCAGAGGGGCTGCTGGCAACGTATGAGGACCTCAAATTTGTTGTTTGCAGGAGAGCGGTTTGGCATGCTGTAATTCAGCAGCTTGTTATTACATGTTGCTCTGTCTGAAATTATTCTGGGTGTTGTTAGTTTGAAAATAATAAAATAGCTTAGTGTACTTGGACTACTTCTCCTCTCTGAAAATAATGAGATTTTTGTTTTTAGTTGCAGTGCTGAAAGATTTGTTCCTGAGTAAATACGGTACTTCTGGATATTTTCAAGTCCGATTTGCATTCACAAAGATTTCAGGAGTATTGATGAGCTGCACTGCGTTACACTTCTCAAAATTATCTATAAGAAATCATTACTTCACTTTACTTAACGGTTCTGTTTTTTAAGTGTTTCATGGGATTTTATCAAATGCAGAACTTCCAACTTTGTCTCAAAGTGTGCAGTGGTTTTGGAAGGGGCAAATTTTTTTGCTAAAAAGTCCTGCAGAATTTAAAGAGATGCCCAGCGTGCTTCTTCTGAGACTCTGACGCTCCATAAATAACATCTCATTGAGCTGTACATATAAAAAGGCCACCACAGGAGATCAAACTCATCTGTTGGAGCTGTGAATACATGCAGTGGAGAATTTACTGGCCAGAATACTTCTCCAGTTTCTGCCCTATATGTTTATGATGCATTGCTGTTTTACTTCAATTTTTGGTAACGTCAGAGAAAAGTTAATGTCTGTTAAAAACATAGAAACGAAATACTGCTTTTTGACATGAAAGTGTACTTCAGAAAGAACCTCTTGATTTGAATTTTATTTATGTACAGGTATTTTTACAGCTGCCTTCTACATGCTCATATGTTCTCATGCCTATTAACATGAGACCAGTGATTAAGTTTATTAATAATAGAAAACATTGCTCCCATTTTACCAATGGAATGACTGGATAGTCTAGAAGAGAAATGAGTGATACATGTGGGGACAGACAGAGCTCAGGGACAACTCGGTGTCCTTGGCCTGAAGCAGTCTTCCCCATGACTTCAAGTTTATACTCAGCAGGAATGAAGCAGAATCTTCAAGGGAATTAGGTATCCTACAGCAAAGAGATATTGTAATTAGTAAGGTTTACGTTCTTTCTGTTTTGGTTTGTTTCTGTAGGCGTTTTTTTTCTGCTGTAGAACTGGCTGTTAAGCTTTGGCAAGATTTTATTGATTAAAACTTTCTCCTGATTGTTTGCAGCATATTAAAGCAACTACTCTAAAAATAATTTCCCGGAATCCATCCTGATTGCAGGTCCCTGTTATCAAGCAATGCGGTTGCTCTGGTTTAGTGGCTTGTATAATCCTAGAAGGCATCTGGAATGTGTTCGTGTTAATTGAACTATGGAAGCAGAAGTATCAAAAAGATGTTATTTACAAAGAGCTCTATTCATATCTGCGCAGTGTTTGTCCCTGGAACCAGACTTATTTTTTCTTACTTTCTTGGATATGAAATATTGATGTCTTTAGTACCTATTGCAGTAGCTGGTGAGATTTATGTTCAGCAAATAAACCTTAAATATATATATGTATATATTTTTTTTTCCCTTAGATCCATTCCAGTTCCTTCCCAAAATCGAACCGGCAAAGGAGCAGGCGGCTCAACCAGCTGTAGCACGGAAACCCACTGTTATCCGAATCCCAGCTAAACCTGGAAAATGTAAGTTTTTCTCCTGAACTGACTGAAAAAATCTTTATCAGGAGATGATTTTAACTGCAAATAAATATTTTAAAGTGGAGTTGCTGTTAACTTGTTATATTTGCTGTCAAAGCAATCCCAAGGTACAGCTGAACAAAACAAATGACTCACTTAAGAGCTGTGGTGGGAGGCTGCAGTGGCTGGGAGTCGTGCTACTCTTCAGCTACCTTGTCTGATGCCTTCCCTTGCACTGTGTTTGATGTTTCTCAAACCTTTTGGAACTAATGCTTACCAGAGGGCAAGTGGCAGCAGGGAGGTGATCTGAAAGATGGCAGAGAAGAGGTGGAAGAGACCCTTTCAGCAGAACGAATTTGTTCAGTCATCTAAACCATACTGCTTTGGTAATAACTGACTTACATTCAGACATAAGCTGCAGGTATTTTGTTGCTGCTTCCTGGGAGCAGAGTCTGCAGTTGTCAAAGAAACCTTTTTATGATATTAATTTGTTCTTCAAAAGTTATTGTCAAGTTCTCACAGATTACGTCAGAAAGTTTCCTTGACCCGCTTGATCTAGAAACCACAATCATTTAAGCAATAGCATCTTGGTAGTAATAGAGGGAGTGAAGAGGGCATGCAAGAATTTGGATGCAAATAACTGATTTGCTCAGTTTTGTGTCAGAGACCTCCCAGCTATGGTTTTCTTTCACCTCTGATCCTTTATATCTTTACTAATGATACTGACAGTGTTTCACAGTGGAAGTTTATTGGAAAACTTGTGAGGCTCTTTGTGTGTTCATCTTTCTGACTTGAATACATACTTACTAATGTTCAGCCTTATGTTTTATCCTCAAAGCTTAGAAAGAAAGATCACAGGACTGCTGGCTCTAAAAAATTGTACTTCAGACTCATATTTTATTAAATTGAGTAGATGTAGAACCAAAATATCCTGGTGGCATTGCTGCTAAGACTTTCTCTCATTTCCTGAGATCCCCTCCTACAGCAGTTTTCTTTTCCTCTGCATATATGTGAAATGCAGTGGAAGTGATGAGATATGCAGAGAAAACAGAAGATAAGCTACAAGGAAAATGATTCTGCTAATAAATGATCATAAATAAAGCTTTATCCTATTGGAAGATTTTGGTTACAGTCTACTGTAAAGAATCCAAGGCACAGTTTCTCTCCACAAAGGAGATTTTATTATTGCTGTTTCCATTTAAAACAAAAAAAAAAAAAACCAGAAAAAAAACAAAAAATCCTTAAATTCTTCTTCTTTTTTTTTTTTATCTGGACTCTTTTCAGCTCTTAAATAACCTGTCCCTTTGCTGCTCTCTAGTGGCAATTGAACTTTCTTCAGAAACTGCCAGTCATAGTGTGCTTAATTACAATTGAGGGATGTGAAGGAGCAGAAGCAAGTTCGAGATGAGCAGAGTACCTTTTTGTCAGATAGGAGCTACTATAGAAATGTAAGCTGTTAAAAAAAAAAAATGAGCGTAGTACAATTGGGTTAAGGAGTGACAAGGCTATAGTAGCATACAGATTGTAGGAGAACTACATGATCTCAGTAAAACGGGTTCTGGGGTTTTTGTGCCATTCTGGGTTAATCCTGTCAGGAACCAATGCAAAACAAGAAGGTCAATAAAACTGAAAAATAAAAAACAGAAATCAAACAAAAAACCAGCACTCCCCCCCCCCAAAAAAAAAAAAAAGTTAAAGGTGGATGTGGAAGAATTTGGGGCTCTGGTGTTTTAGAATTTGTTTCTTAGTATTTTTGTTGAGCTGTGATTAGAAAGGTAGCGTTAAACTTCCACTTCAGTTTTTACACTTAGGAATCAGTGAAGTTAGCAACTGCTTTCTAGTTTCGTTTTGTTTTTTTTTTTTTTTACTTTTGGCTTTATCAATGGCTAAGGAAGGGAAATCAAGCCATCTGTGCATATATCCAGATTTGAGGTGGTGTGAATAAATAAATCTGTTAAGCTCTTAATGTATCAATGAAGTATATTACGAGAAGGTATCCCTTGCAGTTACATACAGGTACCATTTTTACTTCTCACAGTTCTAGCTTAGAAGAGTGCATGAACACTGCATTAGCTTCCATTCCCTGTGCTCAATCATTTCCAACACAGTAACTTTAACCTGTTCCTAAGAATTATAAGGTATTTATGCTTGAACTTATTTACTTGTAAACATCACACCAGCCTTCTAGATGATGTTAGTGCAACTGAGGTGTTAAAAACAAACACCATTTCTCCTTCCTATGTGCTTTTTCTTTGTTAAGAGCACTTTTTGTGAAACAAGTAACTTGAATAAATAAAATTGTTCTTTCCATGGCAGCTGTCTTCACTTTTGTAGTGAGTGAAAGTCCAGGCTGTCTATACACTCTTATTTATAAAATTCCAAAGCTGGCTGGAAGTCAGAAGAGCTTAAGTGTCTGAAGTTTGTTGTGAGAAAAGACTTCACATTTTATACAAATAGATTTTAAAATAGGTGACAGAAGTTCAGTATATGAGGACAAAATGATTGGTAAATATGCTTACAAAACTGATCAAAGGGCTACCCAGATTTGAACGACAGGGACATTTAAAACAAATCTCATAATTAACATGTTTTTTTGTTTTTTGTTTCTTTTTTTAATTGAAACTGAGATCATCATTCTTCTGTAGTAAGAGCTGTACTTCCATGTTCTGAACTTCTTTAGCTCCCTAAAGACTGCTGGGTAATTCCCAACTCTCCTTCTGTTTTATCCTCCTGAATTTTCTAGCAGGCAGGATTTTTTTTCTTGCCTTTACCTTTCTGTAGATTCTTCCATCCAAGTCTTCTGATCTTTCAGGGTTACTTGAAATAACCCTCAGCTGTTTTCCAGCCTGAAGGATATTCCAGGAGCTGACAGCTGGAAAAAGTGAGCTAGTTAAGAAATGTGGCTGAGAGATGGTGATGGTGTTTCAGAGTATATAGGAATGAGTCTGACATTCCCAGGGGTAGAAACTCTGCTAGTCGTCTAATATTATATCAACAAGTATTGCAGCTGAAACCCTAGAATAACTTGCTGGTGTCCTGAGACACCAGTGGAGATTCATTATGTGGAATGGGAATGACTCTTACATTCAACATCAGAGTTGAAGTGTTCCCTTCACATCCTTTTTCTGTTGACTAGTCTTTGAGTTTTCCTGTGCATTGGCCACTCTGGCTTTGAGGAAGGAAGTTGTGTTTGTAACAAGATGCCCCACACCAAGATGGATTCTCTTACCTAGTGTTGGTCTGTGTGAAGAATCTATTAATTAGACTTTCTTTGTAAACAAGCTACTGATTAGACTTTCATTCAGAGCTCTGTTTTTACAGCTTTGGATGAAATCCCACATAGCCCTCCTCCACTTCCTGCTGAAAAGCCTATTGGCAACACCTTTGACATCGCAGTGGGCAAACCCAACAGTGGTGACCTAGTAAAAAACATGGTAAGTTAATACTGTTTTGTTGTATAACAGCTTTCCCTACTTTGGGTAACAGATTTCTTGTCACTCTTGGCCCTTTTTAAAGTAAGTTATTTGAGGAACCAAAGGATGAAAGGGACTAATCAAAAATACAAGACATTGTTCTTTTGACTGTGCTCTCTGATTTAACAAGGTAATTTAGACTGTTGCCAGTTCTGGAAAACACTTTGCTGATTTTAGTGTACTTCAATTATATTTATCTTCAATTTTCTTTGCATCTGGAATCAGGATATGCTGCAGTTGAGTTTTGAAAGCGCTGTAGAGTGGTTCAAAATCTAGCAGTGTTTGTATGGTCAAATATTGCCGAAGTCCTTCAGAAATACATCTGTGTTTTTTTTTTTTTTTTCATTTCGTACACATAGCACTTCTTATGTGGCCAGTGTAATTTACAGGCAGGATAAACTGTTCTGTTGGTGAGCGAAGCTTGATTTCTTCAGTTTTCTTCCAGTTGTTTTATTCTGGTCCTTAACAGAACCTGAGTAGAACCATCGATTTTTGGAAAGTAAGGCTCTGCTCCTTGCTCCTGAGTGCGTAACAATGGTGTACACTATAGCTGTGTATCCTGTATGCCTTTTGATGCAGATGTACTAAAGAGAATTCGAGTAGAAATAGACAGAATTTCCAAATGTTGAGAGTGATGATAGCAAAAATGTTGGTGAATCTTGTGGAAACCACAGGCAGTAAAGAGAGAAATTAAAAGCTCAGACTAAGTGGATGGCTGCCAGCAAATGTATTTTTAGCTACTTTTGCTAGTAGATAGAGAGGTTTTTGTACATCATAGCTGAAGAGGCTATTCATACAGTTCCTATCTTTTCTGGACAATGCTGAAAAAATAATTGCCAATACAATGACATTAAATAACATTTTGCACAATACAACCCCAAAATGTTTGCAGTGTCATCCAGATTATTATGACAGACACGTGGAAGTTACTCCTCATACAATCATTTTGGAATAGGTTCCTTCTTTTTAACTGAAGTTCCAGATAGAATATACTTATTTCAAGCTATTTGGAATGCTAAGTGGTAGACATTGAGAATAAATTCGTAATGAAGTATTACAAATACTGGTTTTTCAAATCTAGCAGTGTTTATCTGTGAAACTGATTACAGTAGAACAAATAGAAACAATTGACCGTAAGCAGCGGTTGGTACAGGTTTGCTCCTTTTCAGGCAGGAAAACATTTTGCTGTTCGGATACCACTCCCATCTGAAAGCAGTAGGTTTCCTTTTAATCAGAAGCATTTACTCGGGAGCATTCATGTGGGGATGTAGTCAAGAGTCTAAGTTTTGTCACAAAATAAATCTAGATATTTCCCAGGTCGAGAAAATCACAGTTGTAGTTTACTAGTTTCAAGCCTGCCTCCACATCTAGATAAATACGGTTGTTCAGCCCTTTTTAAAGTTACTGATTCAAAAAGGTTACTTTTGAACCCAAATTCAGCACTCGGATTTACTATTCTGTTGCAAACATCTGTGCTTGGTCAGCTTAGTTGGCACTATTTTCTGGCATTGGGTAAAAATGAATAGCAGGAGGCAGGAGGATGGTAATTTGTTAATGCATTACTGTGGTCCAAACCCTTCAGCTATGTCATGTGCTCCTCTCTACTGACTGCTGTGGGTAGTAGTCTCTGGCAAGGTGGGGATGGGCATCTGGAAGCACTAAATAAATGATCTGCCAAAGCAAGATTAATCAGGATTTGTTTGTTAGGTCTCTAGGAAGCATCTTTAGGTACCTTTCTGAATAAGAACTAGCGTTATTGGCAAGAGACTTTTTCCAACTTGAGGTACACCAAGGTTGTATTTTCTGCTCGAAGTCTGTGCCTAGTGTCAGCCTGTCCTTTCATCTGTCAAGCTTAAATCAAAGCTCGTAGTGTAACTGCAAGCAAGTTGGGATCTTAGAGGCACTGAAATTGCACATATGTGTGACTCTCCAGAATTTGGCTCTTAGACTCTGAGTCCCAAGTTGTAGGCAAGGAAGGGCTGGGTTACACCTACTGTACAATTTTAGCTGTGTTTCAGGTAGTCAATTTACTATCTCTACGTACAACAATAATAGTTTAGAACACATCACGTTATTTATTACTTTTTTCCTCAAACTCCAAAAACACTTTTTCCTGATTGTAATTTAAAATAAGAAATGCATCATTTAAAGAGGGTTTGTTTTATTTCCTAGGCTTAATGAAATGATTTGGTCATTTTAATTTTTGTAGGATTTGAATAATTCGGAACGGGCTGGAGCATCTCAACTAGAACCTGCATTACCCCCAAGGTAAGTGCAATTATTCACTGATTCACTTAACAGAGATGTTTCTGAATTAGTTTGTGTAGGTAGCCTCAGCATAGATAGTAAATTACTGACTCTGAACCTAACACAGTAGGCTTAGGTGCTTTTAACTTATTCACTAATAAATAAACAGGACCAAGTTGCTGGTTATTTCATACTTGTTTGTGCTCTATTGGTATGACCAGAGAGATTATAGGAGGACAGCTGTTTGACTCCTCAGCTAATGTGCAGTGGCTGCTGACAGTCATTCCTTTCTGCATCTTTAACCTTTTAACCCTCAGCTGAACATAGAACATCCTCTCCTGCATGTTGCTGACCTTTTGGTCAGCAGCGCTTGCACTTGTGGCTGGGTTTGAGTGGTGAAGGAATGGAGGTGGCAGATGCTGCCACCCTGGAATGGGCACATGCTAGGCCAGCACCTTCCTGGAAGCACAGGTTATTATCTACAGTATCTCTACTGTTTACTAAAAAAAAAAAAAAAGAAAAAAAGAAAAAAAAAAGAAAAAAAAAAGTGAAGCAGCAGAATGCATTATAACCTATTTTTATACCTTTTAAGAATCAATAAAAAAGAGCTGAGGAGGAAAAAGCAGATGGACCAAGCTTAGATTCAGGCCCGCTAAATGCTAGAGACAAACTGGAATGAAATAATGCATTGGCCAGTTAGCCCTCTGTGGCTGTGTCACTACCTACACTCAAAATCCAAAATATGCGTGTTGAAATAAAGAGCTTACTCTATTGTATCAGGATAGGAAAATTTTTCAGTACTGAAGCCTGGTCCACTGTAGTTATTTATTAACAGGAAAGTTTGTACCCAACAAGGAAACACCTCATTATTTCCCCCTATTGCATGTTACTTTTCCCCATTCTATTTACTGTAGTAGCATTCCTGATTCTCTAGTAGTTCTCTGGAATTGCAGTGAAAATTTTACCCTTTTAGTCTTCTGTTCATTTTTTTTTAAAGGAATAATAATGTGTGCTTGCTGTGTTTTTTTTAGTTTATTTGTTTAACTGAGTCTCTACACAAATGCATGGGTTGGTCTGTTTCCAGATTTAATGTAGTCTGAATTGGAGTTTCCTCTTTCATCAATACAAAAAAAAGCTTAGGATGAGGCCAAGAATGAGGAGAGGTGGAAACTGAGCAGGAGAGGGAATTATTTTTGAACTGTAAGGAAAAAAATGCGTACTCCAATAGGAATTGAAAACTACATCCAGGTACACTTGTAAATCACCAACATCTTTTAAAGTGGTGGTTGACACAAATGAAACATGTTAGAAGAACGCCCTAAGTTCCACTAATGCACATTTGTTGTAGGTGATGATAATGTTTACAGATCATTGAGGAATTCATACTAGCAAATAATTATTCTTATTATACTATATGTAGCGGAAAACTACAGTAATGCACTGAAGACCTACTAATAACAATCGAACAGTTGTCTTTATGGAATCGCTGTAGTGCCAGGTTTCTTAGTAACACAAAGTTTTGCATCATGTATGCAATGCTTGTTTATAACAGAGGTGATTTTTATTAGCTAATTAACTATTAGCAAGTTGATTTGGAAAATTGTTGCTTGTGTACGCTGTATAGGCAGCATTTTTTATTGGTGCTTACTAAGAAGGATTTTTAATGTAATTATTTTCTTTTAAATTAGCACTATCAGTTAAACTCTTTTGGTTTCTAAACTATTAGTAGGCTAATGAGAGTGAGGTACCTCCAGCGTTACCAAGAAGCTTGAGCATTGTCACTGGTGTTATCTTTTGTTCACGTAAGAATGGTAAATCATGCTACTGATGCCGTTGTACCAAGTGGTGATCATGAGTTACAGCAGAGGCTCAAAAGTCACCTCGGCTGACATCTTAGTGAATGGGTTGGGCTAATTCTTGAAGGCCTGTTTCATCAGCTGAGCTTCCTAGGGCTCTCATTAAGGCTCTCCAGTGGAAGGACAGTATGGTAAGGCAGCTGCAGTCAAAACTCTTTTTGAAGATGGATTGCTGAAGAAAATCCTGCCTCATGTAGGAGGCTTTTGAGAACACTGGCAGGCTGTTTGTTTGTAGGCAAAAATGGAGAGCAGACTTGGAAATATGTAGTAAAAAAAAAAAAAAAATCTGTCTAAGCACTTGATCATCTGATCTCATTTGTCTGAAGGTTTTTGATTCATGTATTCTTGGAGAACTTAAGGTATTATATACTCTTCTATTATGCTGGTCTTCGTCACCATGTTTCCTTATAGAAGCTCGATAGCTAGGGTTGTGGTGGAGAGTGGGGTGGCAAGCCTATTAGTACGCATTTTTCTGATTGCTCATCGAATTTTTAGGCCTGTGGATGGAAAAATTATACCAGCTCGACCTCCCCCACCTAAAGGTGTTCCCGGAAGGCCACCTCCACCAAAACTCTCTGCAACCAAGACCTCCTCTCAGAAGGATGCTCTTTCCCGATCCACTTCTTACGTTGCTTATGATAAAAAGCCAAGCAAGCTCAGATTGGGACCCAAGAGAACAAAAAGCCAAGTCATAAAAAAACAAGATCCAGCTTTACCTCCTAGACCTAGGCCAGGTCATCCCCTCTACAATAAATACGTGGTAAGAGCTGAGATATTCTGCAACTTGTTTATGGAACAGTGATGACAGTAGTAATGAAGAATGTACTGGTATGTTAATATGATATGGCTAGTGCATCTATCAACATAATCTTCTTTAAAAAATACTAGTAAATAGATAGTTATAAGCACTGTGAGGTAATACTAAAGAAGGCAAAATATAGTTGCAAAGTACAGGTACACGTATGTGTGTATTTTTGTATATGTATATTATCTTTCCATGTATCTTCAGTGTATAACTTCGGTTGGGTGGGGTTCTCACAGTTGTCAGTTCTGAATTCTATTAAGACGACGTAAAGCAATAAATATCACGTTTGTGTATTGCTCTTGCCTGTATGTGTCAAGATGCTTAGCAAAACTGGGGGAGCATTGCGGTTTAAAATAGCTTATCTTGCTTAATCAAGCTTGCAGAGAGTGAGGAATGTAAGAGTACTTCAATTTAAACTGTTGACGTAATCCCTTTTCATTATAAAAAGTGTTATTTTGTATTGCACGTAATGTTGGAGGATAATATGTAGATACTTAAAATGAAAGCAGAGCATATCTTGTAATAGAGTGTTGCTGAACATCGTACATGGTATGTTATAATAAAAGGTAAGTGGCTAAAAGACTTGTAAAACTTATGACAAAAAAGCGGTTTCCCAAAAAAAGCAGTTTCTATCACCTGCAGTTCTGTTTTAAATACTTTCCATATGAGTGTCATGGTTCTGGAGGTTCATGGTTCATGAGTGTCTGGTGCTGGAGGGTGCTTTCCTAGCCGTTCCATGCTTTTCAGGTTTGAATCGGTCCCAGGAACTCTCACTCTCCTGATTGTCTTCTTGTGTAGCTCTCATGAAATCCTGTTCAATACTTTATTGGAAAAAAAAAAAAAAAGGCACTACTCAGACTAAGTAGTGCTCAAAGTTTACAAATATCCCAGAACGCTGGCAGTATGCCTAATCTTTCAAGGTCAGGTTTTCCAGCACAGAAACCTGAACTGCTGATAATGCTCCCTAACGAAGCTCTCTGAGAGCAGAGAGAAAAAGAGATTCGTTCTAAAAGCTAAAAAGCAGTGAGCCCCACGTTGGGCGCCAAAAGTCTATCACGGAGTTGACCAGATCAATCCGCGTCTGTGACAGGGGCGACAGGCCTCTGCCCTCCCCCCCCACCCCAGTCCCACAAAAAATGGGAAGGAAGGAAGGGAGGAAAAGAGCAGCGGCAACAATCTATGGAGGAAAACTTATTTTACTATAATATCGGAATAGAAGATAACACAATATATACAATTTAATTGAAATTGAGATTAATAAATCAGACAAGATGAGAGAGAGAGTTCCCGGGACCGATTCAAACCTGAAAAGCTTGCAACGGCTAGGAAAGCACCCTCCAGCACCCACTGCAAGGCAGCAAGAGAGCGCCCCCCACCCAGAAGGGCCAGATCCCGTGACTTCTGTAATGTACAGGGATAGGTACCTGGGATTGGGGCATTAACACTTCAGTGCCCCATAAACTACATGATGTTTTGATGTGGAATACTGAAACCCAAAATAAAAACAAACAAAAAAAAAAACAACATAGAACCATGACAATGACTGTGTCATCTTCCAGAAGACTTCTAAATTATTTACCTGTATTTGGTGATCTGAATAGTTCCATCACCTGGCATGCTGTGAAATGTTTGGTGCTTCAAAATGAAACAAACTATTTCAATTTGCTCCTATTCAAGCTGTCTGTGCCTCATGGAGTTGCCAAGGAAAATTGCCTTCCCAGAAACCGTGGAGAACTGTCTCGTAAGGTAAGACATGTTCTTCTGGTGTTTCATGTTTCGTGCGCAAGTGTTCTGAGCAAAGCCCCTGTTATGTTAAAATATCAAGTGCTTTAGGCTTTAAAGGTTACTCTGAGAAATCCAATAATGGTTCATTAAATCCTTGTGTTTTCTTTAATAAAAACAAAGCAACCGCCAAAACAGAATCCAATACTGGTGATTTGCCTTATGGCACCAGGTCGTTCTGCTTGTGGAGCAGAGCAACAGTAATTACTTGGAGTGCCAGAAGAGAGGGAAACTGGCGAAGTTCCTCTGTCTCCTATGAAGATAATGACTCCCTCTGCTGAGTATCTGAAAGATGGGCAAAAGCTAAGCAGTTAGTTTTACAAAGGGATGTATGTGATGTATCAGTGAATTGACTTAAAGTCTTCGAAGTATTTTCTTTGCTTTGGGCTTATACAAAATTGAATGTGTTTTAGGGCATGGCTGTATTAATATTAAGTAGCCAGTATAAATTCTAGCTATGAGCAGACTTATGATTAGCAGAAACCTATAGGTTTCTTTTCTTTCTTGTTATCCATATTATTCTGTCCTTCATGTTAGGTTTTTCTGGTTGTTTCCTTTGTTTTTAACGACAAATTACTTTGCTTGAAAGCAATTCATACATAGTGATTGTAAAATACTTTTTTTTACACTGTGATTGAAAAACAGTACAGTCTAAAAACTCTTTCCTAGTGAGTGGGTTAGAGATGAAGCTGAACATAGTTAATATAATTTCCCTTTACAAAGATTCCAAAAGGAATTTGTAACTTCTCCTGTTATCTTCCTGTAAAACTTCCTGGTGTCTTGCTTCCCCCTCTGAAGTACTTGGCACTTGGTAGATGTGCTGACTGTGCTGTGTGTGCTGGGTCTCTGAGCATGGAGGAGTGACTGATGTCATGCATTACTGAGTGGCAGCACAGAATTTGGCAACAGCCTTTTGCAGAGAGAATTGCCATCAGCTCTCCAGCTTTCTGACACACAGATAGTTGAGGCTTTGTCTATACTAGAAAAAAATTACATGCCCTCCCTTTTCTTTTGCTGGGTCAAAAGTAAATTTCAGTGAAATACCTTTTGGTTTACCCTGGCAGAAGGCACACAGAATATAGACCAGTGACCAGTACTTAAGTTTGTCACCTCCAGTGATTTTCTGATATCGTGATAAATGTTGTGTCCTAAGTCAGAAAAGGACTTAAGGAATTCATGACAGCAAATCTGTATTAATATCTTCCATGATGTATAAACTGTTTGAATTTGTTTTTGCCAGGATTCAAACAGCTCTCCAAAAGTTTCTGACACAAGTGTTCCCCATGCTGTAGCACTGCATGATTTTTCTGCAGGTAAGTAAATGTGAATATTTGGGAAGCTTATTTTTCTCCAAGTCTTTCAAATGGTGATTTTCCTAGGACTCGGATCTTAAAAATAGTCAGGAAGCACAGCGTGCAAGCTCTGCATGTGGAGTTGTTAAAATCCAAGGGTTTTACCTATGGTTGGGTGGGTTTTCTTGTTAAAGCTAATTTGTTTAGCAAGTACAGTTAAGACTCTCTGAAAACTTATTCCACTTTTGTCCGTGGTATTTAAATTAATGAAGTTTTAATGATTGAAATCAGTGAGGGTGAAAACCCCCTTTAAGTGACATGATGCTGTCTTGCAGAGCATGCTGGTGACTTGGACCTTCGTTCTGGAGATACTGTTTATCTTTTGGAGAGAGTTGATGCCAAGTGGTACAGAGGAAAATGTGGGAATCGCACAGGGATATTTCCTGCCAGCTTTGTTCAAGTGATTGTATGTGGGCTTTGCATACTTTGCTGAATCCTAACGCATTGGTTTTGTTGTTATGTTTTACTGTAGTCCCTATTTAGATAATCTCTTTTCCCTCTGGCGTCACAGAAGACTTAGCAACTTGTTTATATGATATTACAAAGATGCTTGATTTGGCAGAGCCAACTTGTGTTGTGGAGCTTATTTTGCTGTTAATTTCAAGCCAAGTGAGAAAACCATGGCCCTTACCAGATTCTCTTTCTTAACTTGGGTAGTTTATCTGGGTCTACAAGCAGATTATTTTTACAGCTGCACGTAAAAATCAGCATACAAGTATGATGATAGCTTTTTGCCCTCACCTCAACTTCACTCATATTCTTGACCCCGTAAGCTACGCTGGAATCACCACTTGTGCACCCATGTAGTAAATTGGGTCAGGGCAGCATTTGAGCCCAGTGAAACATTTTTTCTTTATTCCCAAAATTCTTTCTTCCAGATGGATCGGTTCGCCTACGTGGCTTCACAAATGGGTGTGCTGGCACTGTGAAAGGAGACTGTGCTATTGCAAATGCGCAGATTGAAGCAGTCCTGTTACTGAATGTGACATTTGCCAGTAAACTGCAAGCAAGAGGCAGGTGTTGTTTTGGTGCCCAACAGAAATGAATTGAGAGGCTTAGCTTAGAAGAAATGCAGCGTAGTTCAGTGCCTCAAAAGCTAGATGAGATCTATTGCAAGCCCAACTTAAAATTTAAGTCCATTTTGTGCCTGTATGAAGAGTCATTGGGCTATCCACCTCAGCCAACTGGGCATGGAAGAACAATGAGTTAACATTAGGATGCAGTGAAGGTGTATGGCTGGCTGTTAAAGACAGTTAAGGTCTGTGCTGATACAGGGCAGCTGGCAGAGATGAGAGGTGCTGCTGTATGAAAAATACCATGCACTCAGTAACCATCACAGTACGTTCTGTAGGGTGCCTGTTCAGTTTGTAGTATGTTACTGGAAGAGAATTTCAAAGCTTGGAAAGCACTGAAGAATAACAAATAGACCTACAGATAGTAGTTACGGAACTATATTCAATTTGCTTTACGAGAAAGATTTGTTAGCTACCTTGTGTATTTTCTTCGACACAAAACAATTTAAAGCATTAATATTTTTGTAAAACTGCTGGCTTACAGATAAAAGATTTGATGTTAAAGCAGTGGAATGGGTATTTGAGATCAAATTAAGCATTGATGCTGGCAGAAGTAACTTCCTAAAAGATAGGGAAAAGACTTTGCACTCTTTTTTTTTTTTTTTAGTTTTAAAAGCTGGATACCCTTTGAGTGAGAAAATAATTGTTTTAGCAAAATTAGAAAAAAGAAAAAAGAGGGAAAAAAGTAAATACAGCTTATTTGCTGAGTGAGTTTTCCTGAGAATTCAAGTCAGCTTAGGTCTTCATACAAGGCCTCCATCAGTACACCATAGTGTGTTTTATGATATCAAGCCACATAAGAGCTTCATGTCTGGATACCAAACAAATGGTAATACATTGTTATTGTTTCCCAAAGACACTTCGGAGCACCACAGATATAAGCTTCTCTAGCGAGCAGTGAAAAGATAATTTGCCTGAAAATCATCTTTGTCTGAAATTGACTGGTTTCATGCAGCCCTTCACAAAATCAATTAAACATTATTGTTGATGTGTGTGGAACTGGTTTATGTGATAGTGAGCTATAGCCCAAAGCTCCTAGCCAAGATCTCTAGGCTTGTAGGGGCACGTAGTCTTACACAAATATCACAGACCATCCTTCATATCATACCAAAAGTACAGTTAAAGTCATCTTAAGATAATGGACTTCAATGCTGTCTGTTGGACATATCCTTGTACGGATTTTCTAGATGATATTTCTCCAATCCCTTTAATTAGCACATGGTAACTATCTACAGCTGAGCTAAGAACGATTGTTTGTTTTTCCTAAATTAACCTTTCTTGAAATATATGCTGCCACAGCATGAATACTGAAGTGAGATTTAGAAGTGCGTTTGTTCTGAGTACAGCTGGCTACCAAAGCCCAGAAAAATGCCTAAACACTAATTTTGCCTGTAGTGATATGTTGCGCTAGCAAATGATAGAGAGCAATTACTAACTGAAAGTTTGGAGCAAAGTGCAACAACACATAGTAGCATCCAGTCCCATTTTCTGTCAATCGGCCTGGCTGTAAGCCAGTTTATTGAAGTAGGCTGTTAAAAAACACAAAACATGAAGTATGCATGAGATTGAAAAATCATTTACGCAAAAGCAAATCCGCATTACCATTGTCATATATCAGAATGTATCAGTGACTATATAGCATCGTGTCAAAATTACAAAAGGAGTTGATGCTTAATGGAAAAATACATGATTTTAACAAGTTCAGCATTTGCAGTAGTTATGTTGGCATGAGCTTGAAATTCAAGATTTTACTTATTTTGTTGTTTTATTAGGTTGATATTCCAGAAGATGGCAAAAGGAAAAAAATATCCTGCTCCTCACAATCCATTAAGTGAGTCACATAAATATTGTTTTCTTTCTTACCTTGATTAGTAGTAATTAAAAGGAAAGGTAACGTGGAAGTAGGTGTTATCTGTGCTGACGCTAATATGGTTAATAATTTCCTCAACAAAATTATTTTAAAAACTAAACATTTATGGCATTATAGTGCCATTACACTTTATCAGGAAAAAAAAAAAAGACTTCGTATGTTTAAAAATTGGTATGTTACTTCATAACAAGTGTTTATATAGATATAGCTCTCTTGAACACGTCTTAACTGAGTAATGCTTTATTGGCTTTCATAACTTTGAACTGCAGGAAGTAAAGCTAATTCAGGCAGAGATAGGAACTAGTATCACCAGGAGTGTTGGCCTTGTTGTGATAGATGGAGGCTTGTCCTAACTGAAAGGCTGCTTCTGCAGCTAACGAATGTGCAGAATATGCTACTGCTGCAACTTTAAAGAGAATTTGAGTGCAGATGGGAATCAAGCTTACAGATTGCTTTAAACTGTGCTATAGAACTGTAGTGTATTTTCAGGATTTTTTTTCCAACGTGGCATTTCTAATAAGTCAGATTTTTTTTGTATGAAAAATAGGTAAAATTGTTAAGTGAGGAAAAAGATAGAATTCATTTTTCAGTTTTCTGCCAAACTCCGTAACATGTGTCAGATTCACTGATGTTTTTATCTTCAATGATTTATTTCTCCCCTCTGGGATGCTCTTAACAAAAGCATGACTTGGATATGGCAAAATTATAGAATGGGACATGTAGAAGTGATGTTTGTTGTTTGAAAGAATATGATCTTATGCAACAATACTGCAGCAGCCAAGAATTCAGATACAGACGCTACCTCCGTCTCCTTTAGACTCCCTACTCATCCTCCTCAGGAAGCAGAGATGATAAGTTGGTCAGAACTCCAATTTTCCTTATGTTCAATCTTAAGTGCATTCTTCGATCATTTTAGTAAAAGATACCAATGCATTCTTTGTGTAGCACTACCTGAATATTTTAGGCACAACAATATTAAATATACCAAGTAAGTTCCTGTATTGCTTGTGCAGAGGCCCAAGATGTGTAGCACGATTTGAATACATTGGAGATGAGCGAGACGAACTCAGTTTTTCAGAAGGTGAAACAATTATCCTTAAAGAATATATAAATGAAGAGTGGGCCAAAGGAGAGCTCAGAGGCACGTCTGGAATTTTTCCCTTGAACTTTGTGGAAGTAATTGAAGATCTGCCTGAAAAAGGTATGACCACATGAGCAAAAACGTTAAAGAATGTGGTTTTATACAATACGCATAGGTAGTTGTAAGAAGGATATAGAAGTCCAAAATAAGAATACACAGGAGAAGGGAGGTGGAAAGGAAGAGAAGATGGATGTGATGAGTCAAAAGGAATACTATTTTGAAGTTTCTCTTAATAATCACTTTGAATATCTAAAGTTGCTGATGTTATATTGAGTAGTCATTGCTACTATTCTGAAGTTGTTCTTTGCTACATAGGTACAGGAGGAGCACTGAAGAAAAAGGCCCTTCTTCAGGTAATACAATTTCATGGGGGGGGAGGGGGGGAGAGGGGCAGAAATTACACGGAGGTTTCATAGATGAGCATAGACTTTCTAATGTCAGATTAGCAGCACAACTTAAATGTAGTACGGTTCGCACAGTACATAATGGTGTGTGGGCACATCTGTAAGCCTTACAGTTGCTCTACCTCGATTGTTAATTTGCCGAAAGCTGTGAAATCAACTTTGTCCTTTCTGCTTAAGGCAATTCTTATTAGGTGTATCATAAGAATTGTGAAATGGTCCAACCCTAGCTTCTGCCATCACTGGTAAAAAGGAGTCCTTGTGAGCTTGGATGAAATTATATAATAATTGCTGAAATGCTTTGAAATGCTTTTTTGGTTTGTATCCGCAGTGACAGTAGTGCATAAGAGAAAATCAGGATGTGCAAATCTTGTACTCTTGTTTTGACCAACATCCATGGGCTTATTGCTGTTCCCTTTTGAAATAAACTTATTTCTTCTTTCATTTGAGTAGAACAACCGATGCTCAGTAGAGTGGTGTGAAGCACTTCATGATTTTACAGCAGAAACCAAAGATGACTTATCCTTTAGAAAGGGAGATTACATCCAAATACTGGAACAAGTAGATTCTGAGTGGTATAGAGGAAGACTGAATGAAAAGGAAGGGATTTTCCCAGCAGTTTTTGTTCAGACCTGCTCAGGTAGGTGCTCTGCTAGATGACAGCTCATTATTCCATGCAACAGTCATGACCAATTTCCGGGAGAACGTAGCTATTCCACTGCCTTAAAAACTGTGCACCAATAGAGACATCCTAGAGCTGAACTGAAGTGCTGAATTGGTTTCTGAAATAACTATGTATGTTGTTTTAGTCAGAGTGCAATTTGGAAAGTAAAAGTGTAATTTAAATACATGCAGAACACAATGCTACTGTATCTCCAACTAGAAAGTGGAAATGACAACTTTCCTTACATTTCCGCATTGGAGAGTTTAAGGAAGTGAACTTAATATTTAATTCTTCTAGAAGCGGAACCACAAGCATGTGTTAGTACTGTAAAATGAACTGGTAGCAGTAGAAATTTTTAGTCCAGCATGACAGTTTGCCATGTAGCAGTAGTAATAACATTTGGACACCTGATAACACACTAGTGGGGAGGAAACACCAGCATAACAGGAAGCTTGCCCAGAAACAAAGATATATTTTCCTCAAATCCAAATAACTCATCTATTGCATATTTTGCAGCCAGGGTAGAGACATCACAGTCTCTAGGAGGGAAGAAAAAAAAAGCCCAAGCTCTCTATGATTTTCATGGTGAAAATGAAGATGAGCTTTCCTTTAAAGTAAGTGCCCCCTTTTTTTTTTTTTTTTTGGTCCAATTTTTCAGCAGATCTTATGTTGCTAATGAATGCCTTTAAAAAAAAAAAAAAACCTAAAATAAGTTTGGAACATGAAACATCAGAACTCAGGTAATAGACATAATTATTAACGTATTTGATACAGAGCAGCTAAAAATGTTGGTCCTTACCATAGTCAAAATCTTCACCAAACACACTGAAAAGTTAGGAATCGTAGTCTTGCCCTGACTTCCCTAATCCAGTACGTATGACAAGACCAACACACCTCATTTTATAGTACATTCAGTTCTTGATCAGTTAATAAGGTCAAAGGGGCTTCCTTTTTGACTGGAAAGACAGCAACATGATGGTTTGATAATAGGGTGACAGCATTACAGCAGGGATTGCTCTAAGAGAGACCTATTACTGCAAAACCTTGAAGCTGATGTGAAAGTTTGGCAGCACGATCCTTAGTTGCCCTGTGAGCAAAAGGAGAAGGAAGTATATGCTGTATGCCTATATAATATGAAAAAGCACAAACAAATGGTATGTTTCAGTACATGAAAAAACATGACATTGAAGTAAATGTCCTCAAAAGCAAGTTTCTAAGAACCAACAGACTTTAGCATCAGGTCCAAGATTGCATTTATCAGCTGCAACACATTACTTTAGAAAGAGAAAATAATTAGTTTCTGCGTTACCAGCTTGCCTTATGGGATGGATGATGACTTAAAACAGAGAAGGGGAACTGAGGTACTGGTAGAAAGGCTAGAGCTCTGCCAGTACTTGGAATGAAGGGTATGGCACGGGAAGATGAAAGCAGGTCTAAAGATCAAACATGGAAGATAAAGCCACACTGACTTTAAAGGCCACAATGAGCTTCAACTGCATTCCTTTTTGAGAAAGTTTCCAAAGGAAAGGGCGAAGTTTACAAGTTGTAGAAAATACCGGGACTGAATTGAAAGAAAATATTTGAAGTGTTCGAAGAAGAAAAACCCTCATAGCAGAGCAGGAACACGCACAGTGAGCGAGGCAGCAGCCTGTAAGCCATCTCTGTAACACATCTACCTACCTGCAGGAAGTTATCCGGCAGCATTATTTTTTCCTCTCACAAACTGGTGGTTTTTCAACCCTTGACAAGTGTTTACACTAAGAGACAGTTAAGTAAATGTAGTTTCAAAGAAATCTAACAGGAGCGATCATCTCCTACTACCATTCTGTTTAATTGCTATTAATTTCTTCTGAATAACATCAACAGTGCATGGCCTATTACTACATGGAAAGATGTAATGGCTCCCGTTACTCCTTGTTTTACAGGCAGGAGATTTTATAACAGAGCTGGAATCTGTAGACGAGGATTGGATGAGTGGAGAGATACAAGGAAGATCTGGGATATTTCCCAAAAACTTCGTTCAAATTTTAAAAACACCATGAAGTGTTGCCTGTCCTTGTACTCCCTGTGTCTGGGAGAGAATGTTTTCACAAAGACATCAAGGTATTCTGACTATCTATGTTTTGCACTACTTATTCTGGACAGTCATATGAGTATCTTAAAGTCAAAAAAGATTTTAGTCCTTTGTGACCACGTACTTAGTCATGCTTCAGAAAAGCTCTGAGAGCAAATACATGGGCAATTTTTAGTGGTCTCCAACTAGGGAAATACTGTGGTGCAACACGATTTTAACTTAAATAGTATTCTGTTATGTTTACTATCTGGTATTACATTTATCATGCACACCCTCTACATAAAGTAAGCTTCTTTGAGCTTTTTAAGAACTGTTCAAAGTGATGTTTTTAATATATAATTCCAGCAGTCGGTATGTAGATCATGTTCAATATTCGGATTTCTTTACTGCTTGACTCCCACGTTAGCAGGATTCACTTATGAGTTAGATAACTTACAGTAGAAAAATGTCAAATTAAACTGGTAAGAGGAAAAACTCAAATCCTTGTGTAGTATTCTCCTGTTCTTAGCCCAAACAGATCAAAAAGGGAAATCAGAAAATATTTAAGTATTTTTCCTCTTAACTAATAGCACTTAAACTGGTTTGAACCATGTTAAATGTTTCTGCCCACCTCAAATATCTGCACCAGATAGAGCCTTAGTTTTCCTACTATTCCCTCTTTGTCAAGCACCACCCTACCCTTTCCCAGCAGGAGTTGTGATGGACAGCATTTACTCCATTTTCTCAGTTCTCTTCCCAGCACAGCTATACTATTTCAACAATTTGCTCCTCCACCCCCTTTTATTTCAGTGGAAAGCCTGTCTGCATTCAGTTTACATTTCATCTACTGCTCAAGCACTGGAACATACTTCAGCAACACTATTCCTATCTGTAACTTGAAGGATATTATGCAGCCTTGGTTTTGGCTTTCAGCAGGCACAGGGTTAGCTTTCAAGTTGTTAGCACGTACCAGCTATACCAAGCATCATTATAAATGGTCTGTCACAGCTTTAAGGATAAAATGTCTTGCAAGACGTTGCTTCAAAGAAGCTCAAACAAAATCATTTAGTAAAGCAGGAGTGTGACTTGAGCAACAGCAACTGACCTTGACGGAGGTAGCTGGACCTTCTGACAGTAAATGCCATTTTGTGACACTTTCTGACAGAGTTGTTAAATAAGTCTTGATTAGCAGATAACTTCAGACTGGAGGAGTAAAAAACTTCATTGCAGTGCTGACAATGTTCTATTACTTTTGTACCCTATAGGAAAAAGAAACATCAAGTTGTTATTATGAGTCATTACTTCAGAAGCATAGATATGACAATATAATACAAGGCCTTTCTCCCTTAAAGCTCTGGTTGTCAGAACGCTAGCAGCTGAGACATTGATGGAGAGTGTGGAAACTAGAACAATCATGACTCACCTTGAGATGGTTCAGCTTAGTTTTGTGTTGGCTTACAGTTATGTTGATAGGAGGTCCAAACGTGGCAACAAGTACCTACTGGTGCAAAAAGCTTTTCCCTCCCTCCCCTTCAGCAAACAGGCAATACAAGCTTCCAGTCAGAACTAAACTGAAGGGCTTCTTCCAGCAGCGAGCAGATCTTGGAGATTAGCAACACACTGGAGCTCATCTGAACCGTCCTCAGCACTGCTTTGCTCTGCAGAATTTATCGTTACACCACAGTAGTTGTGAAACTGACAGATAATAGCATGCTTTTTTCTCTAGAAGCTTCACTTTCTTCTAGAAGTGCTATACGCTTATGTGTCACCATCGCGCGCCTCGAGGATGAAGATCACACAAAGCTTTAATGAGCTACAAACTGGATTTTTAATTGCATTAGAGGGATTAACATGATAAAAACCATTACAGCATATGTGCTATCCTAGAAAGATAGAAACATCACATTCTGTACAGCTGTTATTGAGTTTTAACATCCCAACAAGCCTGTCCTGAACTCCTGTGGAATTCAACTTAAATTGAAGTCCACCTCCGAGGCAACTCTCTCCAACCTCTGCTACTTGGAGCTGCCCATGGCTCTTTATACAGATAAGCCAGCCCTTGCTTTCTGTAGGACTTAGGCAAAACAAATGAGAGATTCCTCCAATGCAATGAATACCTAAGAGAGATTTCTAACTTTTTGACTTAAACTGTGGGCCACCCTCTTGAAACTCGCTTCTTCCATTATGATCTCTACCAAGACAAATTCTCAATTTCTTATAAGCAGAACATGAGAAGAACAAAAAAAACCACTCCACCAAACACATTACCAGGCCTTCATAAAATATACAATCACTGTGGTGGGAGGAGGAGGCTTAAGTGTATAATTTTTACTTATTGTTTGCCTGGCAGTTTTTTAAGATTTTGATACAAGTCTCCAAGTAGAACTGAATTTTTATAATTTTTTTTTCAATTTCCTCTCCCACATTTTTATAGCTGTAATATTGACCAGTTGCTTTTCTATCTTCTACTGAATGTTTTAAGTCAGTGCCTGTTAGTAGGTAAGTTCACTCCTCTTACATTATTCATCTCCTCCCAATCTTGCTGGGAAGGAAAAGCAGCAGAGCCTTAAAAGTCTGGGCAAGGAGTGCCACCTACACGCTGTTTATGTTACTGCAGACAGCTAACCTATTAAAAGTTGTAGTTAGTGGCTTGCCTTACACAGAAGTGACTGTTAAAGACTTCATGCCTACTATCACCATGAAACTGCATACAGATGATAGAATTAAGGTGTACAGTACACTGCAGAAAAGGAAGAATGAAGTTGAACACCCTTCCTAACTGCAGTATAGTAGCAAGTTTCAGCTGTAACCCCAAAATTCAACCAGAGCCCCAAACATCAAGTGTAATAAGAAAAGCTTTGATAAGCAAAGCTTCTATTGTTTGCCCCACCTCTGGAACTATCTTCAGGAAGAGGACTTTGTTCTATGTGCAGATAACAGTGTCATAAATAAGTCTTTGTTAAGTCTAGTACATTTGTTATGGTACCTCTGTAAATTAAAAATGTATTTAACCAATAAATTTTTATAATTACGTTATGATTGCATTTTTATCATCCTACACTGTACAGAGCTAAGCCCTCCACTCAACGTGACGGGTACAGATCGTGTTCTGCTTCTATGTTTAACTCAACATTAAAAAAAACCCCAAAACCAGTATTTCTTCTCTTCAGCAACAGTGCAAGCCCCTCAGATAATCTTGATGGCTTCAACAATTAAGCCAAGCCTTTGCCTTTAGGTGTGCTTCACACTTCACACATGCAGAATTTATCAACTGCTGCCTGCAGCAACCACCCAGCACAGCAAGGGACACAACCATGGCAATGCTTGGTGACACAACTACTTGTCCTACTACATGTGAAGTGACTTTGCAAGTACAAATGTACCCACAGCCACTCTGTGATAATGTCAGCAGCCTACTGTTAATAAAGACAAAAAACAGCTGGATGGAATTGAAAAGCCAAGGCAAAACTAAACACTTTCAGGACTTGACTGTACACACATTGTACGTTGAAGAATCATGCCATCCACGATTAACTACCGAATTGAAAAAAAGTATTTTAACTTCCTTTCATAATCTTTGAACAAAAAAGCTTTGTCAGTTGACTAGTTTTAACCAGGCACTTCTGCATGAGTTCACACAAGCACTGTAGTGAGGAAAAGGAAAAAGTTGCTCAACACTTGCCTCTGTTCACTGCCTACCCAGTTCTGCACTGGGAGCTCTCCGGCAATTAAGATTGTAATTAAGACAGGAAAGTAATTGAATAACAGTGTGAAATCACATCATCTACAGCATATAAAAGAATTAGTGGAAGTCCTTACCCTATTGCTTGTTATTTGGTCCAAAACCAAGTTATTAACTGCAAAGATGTAAAAATTCTTAACCTTGAAAAACACAGCCCTCCTGATCACACCCAGTATCTTTATTGCAAGATGAACTTTTTCATTATTTTCCTCCAGTCCTTGTCCCAAGGGAATTCACAGCTAACAGGAAGAGCCACCAACACCTCAGCATCCTTCCAAAATAGGTGAAAGCAGTTCTTTCTCAGCTTTTAAGGAACAACTGTGCCAACAATTCAGTAGCAGATGTGTGGTTTTTACCCCTCCCATTATTTCTAAACAACATAAAAGCGTACCCCTTATCTTAGCCAGAAAAACACTTTCTTAAGCTGGAATACACAACAAAAAATGAGACGAGCTACCTGACGCAGGTAACATAGATGATCTGCCAAGTCATTTGAGTGGTTTTAGAACACAGACCATTGCCATTTTACAGTGAACACCTCCCACTGTTCTTAAGTTCCATGAGAGATCACACCAAATTCAGTTACGTGATAAACCCTGAAGATGCCTTCACAGGACAGAAATGCTGAAACAAAAGGTTTCCCTCTATTTACCGATGAGCTCTGTACAGTGCTTCCATCTGACACACTTCTCACCAATTAAATATAACCTTGAAACCCACCTTCAGTTTCTTCTGTGAGGACCAAAGTTTTTGGGGAAAAAAAACAACACAAATCTTAGTGTATTTTCTAATAACATCTTTCAAAAAAAGGACAGACCGTCATCTTCCACTTGTTTGCAACACCAGCCGGTAAAAAAAAAAAAAAAAAAAAAAAAAAAAAAAAGATCTCCAAAGCAATTATTTTCTCCTTTTCAGTTCAAACAGAGGTCTATCTTATTAAAAAAATACATCTGGTAGCAGTATCACCTAGTATCAATACATGCAACCAAACACTTGTTGTGTGTAATAAACCTTTTATTTTTGGTCAATTTGTGGTTTCAGACAGACTCTTGCACAGGCGGCTCGTATCCATCAGCTCGCTCTACTTTCGCACCTGCCTCATCCCCAGAAGGTTTTCCAGCACCACCACCTTCACCATGCAGTTCCATCAGCTTGCCCACTAAAAAGAAGTATTGCAAACAGTGAGATACACCTATTTTAAACAGCTCTGAAGTACTGAATTAATTACCATGTACAAATTAAACCACCAGCACATGTCATGTAGTAGGTATGGTCGACTCCATTGCAAAAAACTTGTGCAAGATGATGATGCTGACTAAGTGATGGAGTCCAACATAAGACAAGCAATGGAGTTACAGATACATATACTTCAATAACCTAGTGCCTAATCATATGGGAATGTCAGAAAATGGGAAAATTAAAATCATTTCGTGTCATCTGGGACCGAAACAATTTGTCATCATTCATTCCCAAACCAGAGCCCTTAAATATTCAGTTTCAGGCAAGAATTCAAGAAAAGCTTCAAACTGAGTAACCACTATGTGACTTCCCAGCCTGAAAGCCAAACATCTGACTAGAAGGACAAGCCTTCAACTACTACAGCCATGCAATCTTTTGATGCTGCTTTAATGTCTTTCCCCAAAAGCAGATATTTTCAAATGTCTTCCCTTCCCCCCCTCCCCTCAATCCCCTAGATGTGAGGAGTGATTGACTTACATTCAAACTTGGGCTTTTTCAGCATCTTAACCTTGCGGACATAGACATCATGAAGGGGGTAAATGGACTGACACGCCTTCTCTATGTCTTTGCCAATGCTGTCTGGGATCCTGTGCAGTCAAGAGAGCAGATTAACACTAAAATGTTAGAACTGTGCCTGCTTCCTAGTCAAGCAACACACACTTAAAATAATTAAGAATATATAACATTCAGGAGGAGTTTGCATCAGTTCAACAAGATCGCCAGAGTGAGGGTAAAGCGTTACCCTCAGTTACAGTTTTATTCTAGAGACTTCAATTTAAAAAATGTTTGGAAAGCCTGATTTAAATTAATGCAAACATGATGCAGAGACGAGCGTTCAAAGAAGCACACCAGCATTTCAGCACCAGAGACACACTTCACAATGGTCTCTGCCAAACAGAGAAGTGAAAGACCAGCCTTCAGTCAGTAACTGAAACAATTACACGGACTGTAAAAGAGAAAACCATCAGCTTACAGCTTATTGACAACTTCTTTTAAGTCATTGGTCTGGACCTCTCGGGTCATGATTTCCATCATCTTCTTGCGAATCTGCCGAACCTGCTGATGCTGGGCATAGGAAGTCTTGCGGATTTGGTTATTACGCTTCTTCGTAAAGCCCACACAGAAGAGGCGCAGTAGGTAACCATCGGTAGTTTTGACATCCACGTGGGCTTCAATCATCGTCTGCAAAAAAAAAACAGTTATGCCCATGAGAGGCTTCCCAAATGTGCACCCGACATTGGTTAATATCTGCCGATCCCATGGGAAACAGCTTTAAAACACACCGGCAGCCACTTCCTTTCCTAAAGAGGAAAGCAGCAACGCAGACCTTGTGGTTTACACACCTGCCACTTCTTGACCATGGAGCACATTTTGTCGCGGGTGAGGTCCATTCCATGGAAGTTGGTCAGACAATTTTTGCCCTGAACGTCCTCAGTTATCAGCTTAAATTTACGGAAGGCAACCTCATCATTCTGCAGATCAGCCAGACTCACTTCAAATACACGACCCTTCAATCCATCAGAGGCAATTTCTGTATTATTAAAAAAAAGATGCAATTTGTACTAATATTAGAAAGCTATTACTCAAATCTGATACCAAACTTCCATTTTGAAGAATAATAATGGAAAGACAAAGAATTGTTGTTGTATTCTCAACAAAGCAAGCAGAAGCAAATGAGTGCAATTATTTCACATCTTTGCTTAAAAATTACAAATTTTAACACTGCCTGACTCATAACTTAGTTTACGGTGACCCTTATTTTAATGGTATCACAGTAGGCAGTTGAAAATAACCACCTTCATAACTCGAAATGCAACCAAGAAAATATATGTAACTACTCCATGTACCTAATCCTCCAAAATTAACTGCATCTAAAGCACTGTGCCTTCCTAAAATAGGTTCCTTACCCTGAGATACGCAGCTCATTAAAGTTCACCCATTCAGCGATGCATCCTGATAATCACCTGTTAAGTTTGCAGTTCTGTCTTTCCAAAGACCTCCTACTTAATAACTTTGAATTTCAGCCATGACCAAGATGTCACTGTCTCGGTATGTCGCTCGGGGATCCAGAACAACTCCATAATAGTTGAACTTCTTATAGCTGCAGCTCATCAGGAACTCCAACCTTGTCTTCCTACCCATGGTTTGATAGACTTTTATAAAGAAGGACCATAACACATTAATTCCCCTCTAACTAGATTTTAACTGTCTACTTCAGAAAACTTGCTGTGATCAGGCAGTTAGGTTTTTTTTAATTCAGAACTCACATCTCGTACAAGAAAAACTGTCTGTCAGCAGTTCTATAACTACGTTTCATTTGGAATGCTAATATAGAACAAACACTTATCTTTGTACTGCAAAAAACCACAATACTCACTAGTTCCTTGAGTCCTGGTAACAAGAGTCTTCCCAATGTTTCTGATATTAAACATGGCTGGCGCTTTGACATCATACCAGTCCTTTTTGGAGAAAGGATCAACCCTTCATTTAAATAAAGCAAGAAAAAAAATTACTATTTTTCAACAGACCGAACTGGGCTGAAACAACTCCATCCCCAGACACTCCGTGAGATACAGATGCGAACCCCACACACTTCACAACCTCGCCCACCAAGGACACGGCGCAGCCCTCACTCGCCGGCCCCCACCTCACACCGAGCCGCTCCACGGGCTCCGCCGCAGCTCGAACCACGCGCGGGCCCAGGCCCGGCCGCCGCCATGACAGCAGCCATCCTCAGCTGCCTGCGCCCGGCCGCCACTATCCACCACCATCCGCCTCACATTCACGGCATGCTGCGGCCGCCGCGCGCCAGCCGACGTCCCCGCTTCCCCCCGCGTCCCGCCCCACCGCACTCACACTTTCTTCTTGGCGCCTTTCTTGCCGCCCTTAGTCAGCCGCTTGTTCTTGCCGACCGCCATAGTGCCACCGCGCCGCGGAAAAGGGAGAGCCGGCTCCTCGCGCGAGATTATACGAGAGCGGTGCTCCCGCGAGAACTTCGGCCGCAGCGGTCACGCGAGAACGGGGCCCCACCTGAGGCGAGGCTGCGCTCC